GAGTGATGCTGGCTGTTTGTTTGTTTGTTTGTTTGTTTGTTTGTTTGTTTGTTTGTTTTGAGACGGGCTCTTCTTATAGCCCCAGCTGGCCTAGAACTTGCTATGTAGACCAGGCTGGCCTTGATCTCACAGATCAAGGTGTGTGCTACCATGCCTAGCTTGGATGACAATGATTAAAGTGAAGGGAAACCAAATCACCAAGTGCAGAGCTTTGAAATATGAAACCCTGTCCTGGTAGATTGTGAAGACCCTGGATTCCATGGTGAGAAGTTTGAATGTTATCTGTGGGCATCAGGGTCCTTGTGTTGTAAGGGGAGGCACAGTCCAGGAGGTCTGTGTTTTAAAATTGTCTAGGTGACAGTGGGAGTGAAGGACAGGTGGGATGTGGCAGCCGAAGCTCCTCCTGCCCAGCAAGAGGAAGCCAGCTGTGACGTGCAGAACCTCTGGAGGCAGTAAGCGTGTAAGAGGGAAAGAGACACACCTGCGGCATGCAAGTGAAGTCTTCTACTGCACTTGACTCCAGACCAATAAATATGCAAAGCCATGAAGAGTGGTGGGGACAAAGGAAGTCCAAGTAGAACTCGGATATCTGGGAGAGGATGAGAAAAGAAAGAAAAGCCAGAAAAGACAATGATGCCAGGAAATAATATCTAGAATATGCTGTGCTGTTGGTTCCCAAAACATTGAAATTTACCTTTGCACAAGTTTCTTTTTTTTTTTTTTTTTTTTTTTTTTTTTTTTTTTGTCTTTTTTGAGACAGGGTCTCCTTGTAGCCCCAGTTCTCCTGGAACTCACTATGTAGACCAGGCTGGCCTCGAACTCATAAAGATATGCCTGCCTCTGCCTCCCCAGTGCTGGGATTAAAGGCGTGTAGACCAGGCTGGCCTCGAACTCATAAAGATCTGCCTGCCTCTGCCTCCCCAGTGCTAGGATTAAAGGCAGAGTGATGATTTTCACTGTCAACCCCACTTTGCAAATGAAGTACAGAAGCTCATGTGAACGATTCATGCTTCAACTATTGTTGCCAGCAACTGATAAACAAAGGTCAGTCTCAGACTCTGTTCATGGAAACATAGAGCAAAAGCCCATGGTCCGATCGTAGTTCAAAGTGCCTTGGTTTAAACGACAGTCTAAAGCCCGGTTAGGAATGAGATCAGGCCAGATTAAGGAAGAAGGGATACTGTGGGCCTCATGCTGCTGTCTGAACATTGTGATGTCACCATGACACTACTTGAAGTGTTGATCCAGGATCTCAATTTCCCTGTCATTTTTCCTGAAGTAGAGTGATGATTTTCACTGTCAACCCCACTTTGCAAATGAAGTACAGAAGCTCGTGTGAACGATTCATGCTTCAACTATTGTTTCCAGCAACTGATAAACAAAGGTCAGTCTCAGACTCTGTTCATGGAAACTTAGAGCAAAAGCCCATGGTCCGATCGTAGTTCAAGGTGCCTTGGTTTAAATGACAGTCTAAAGCCCGGTTAAGAATGAGATCAGGCCAGATTAAGGAAGAAGGGATACTGTGGGCCTCATGCTGCTGTCTGAACATTATGATGTCACCATGACACTACCTGAAGTGTTGATCCAAGATCTCAATTTCCCTGTCATTTTTCCTGAAGTGACTGACATCGTACTTGTAAGTATGTGACAGACACAAATGCTAGGTGTATTCTGGCATCACATTAATGTTCAGAAAAAGAAGCTAGGTTTTGTCCTCACAAGCTTACCATTTTATTGAAAGGTGATGAAAAGCTACCACATCGCTAAAGGTACAAATTATCAACGAACCCAACAGTTGCTTATTTATTCCAAATTTCAAGTATTCTAGCTAGAAAATTGTTTATTGTTCCATATTGGCTATAGACAAATGGTTATTTTTTTAACTTGAAGATGAGGAAATGGAGAGATACTCAGCAGTTAAGCGTGCTTGCTGCTCTTCCAGAGGACCAAAGTTTGGTTCCCATATCCAGCACCCATATCAAGCAGCTCACAACCACCTGCAACTTCAGCTTCAGGGGATCTGACACTCTTCTGGACCCTGTAGGCACCAGCGCTCATGTGTACATCCCCCCCCCCCGCCACAACACACACACACATAGACATGTAATTTTTTTTTTAACTTGGATGTGAAAGAAAGAGAAAAAATATTCCCATGAGCTGATAAAACTGATGAGCACCACCTAGGAAGACAGGAAGCTGAGTGATGTCAAGGGAGGGTCCCCAATTGTTAGTTCTTCCATTGTAGGCAATGGGTCCTTGTAAAATGAATGGCTTGATCCATAGACAGGGCTGGTAGCCATTGGAGTGTGTAATGGGGGCACAAAACAGGGAATACTTGTTTTGGAAAGATTTGCTTTTTTGTTACTCTCAAGTAACACTCTCTATCCTATACTTTTTTCCTTAAAAAACACAATACTCATCCCACTCTGAAGAAGGTACTTAGTAGACACTGAGGATACAGATGAAATAAAATCTTACCTAACCCCAGAAGTTCACATCCTTCTGCAAAGAATGGCACCTGGGCAGCATGCCAATTTTGGGAGGGTGCCCCATAGGTAGTCATAAAGTGCTGGGGTTGGTCAGTTAATGGAAAACCAGTACATTTTCACAAAAATAAAATATCTTAGGACTGGGGATGCAGTTCAATGCATAAAGTGCTTGCCATACAAACATGAGGACCTGAGCTCCATCCCCAGAACCCATGTAAAAAAGCCAGGCATGGTGGTGTGGGCTTGTGATCCCATTGCCATGGAGGGGGAGACCAATAGATCCCCGGGGCTCACTGAGCAGCCAGCCTAGCTGAATCAGTTAGTTCCTGGTCAAGTGAGAAAAACTCTGTCTCAAAGAGCAAAGTAGATAGCACCTGAGGATGACACTGGAGGCTGACCTCTGGCTCTCTCCCTCTCTCTCTCTCCCCAAAGTAAAATAAAATAAAATAATAATTGACATATTGTATGCCTCAAAACAAACCCAGTTGCTTTATAGCTAAAAAAGAAAAAGAAATGCTTTCTGCATCACAGTGTCCATGTTATGACATTAATGAACTCATTCTTCCCACTTGGTCACTGCAGTGGCTCATACTATATTGATGCAGCAGTAGGAATGCACAGGGCATGGCCCTTCTGTCACCAAAGAGAGGCAGAAAGGTTCGGTGATCTCACCCTACATGCATGTTAGTAACTTAGCTCTCCAGCATCTGTGGGGTTCCTATCAGACTCTGAACTTTTGACCAGGACAGAGTACCTCCCCACAATCACCGATGCCCACACATGCTGGATTCTGTCTTATGAAAGGAAACAAGTCCTTCTGGAAGGCTTGAGCAAGTGGCTTTCAACTCTGGGAAGGGCATCCAGCTATGTGGAGAGAGTGAGGGTGTTCCAAGGGAAGACATTCCTGCTGTCCCCCAAAGCTGGCCATGCCCCCACATTCTCAAAAGATGGTCTGAAGTGGAGGTGGTCAGTGATTTGTGTCTTACACGATGGGGGAATGCAGCTCAGATCTATGGCAAACAGTCTTCCTGTGACATATTTTCTTCCTGTGCACAACATGGGACCCTGAAAACCTACCAACAGCAACCTCTGGCCTCCACATACATGGCCTGTGTTCCTCTGTCAGCTATGCTAGTGAGAATGATTGCACAGGCAGGAGCCACACTTCACTCACAAAGCCTCCAGTGGGACTTAAATCTACAGGCTCCAGGAAGCAGGATGGGTGAGTGTACAGATTCATCTCAACATTTTTAGCCAGATGTCTCCCTGTTTACAAGGTACCAGGCCATCCTGGCCTCCATTGCCATCCTGACCAGCATCAGGCTGACTGCAGGTGCCATGTGGATATCACCAAACTCTAAGGAAGAGGAATTGGAGACCCAAAGGCAAAGGGACATTTCATAGAATAAAGTCAGAGAAAGCTATCGGATGTTCCTAATTGTCACTCTGAACCCTACAAGATGGATGTGGTGCAGAAGTTCATCATGTGACCATGTGACTTCATTCTGGAAATATGGGGTTTGAGGCTAATGATAGGAATTAGGAGACACATTCCTGGCCTCTGAGCAGAGAGTCTGAGAATATCCATGATCTTTGCCGGGAAAAAGAGGAACAAAGTGACACCACAGGCTTACAGCTGGGATAAAGGCACTGCTGAAAGCATGGAAGAGCCCATCACTTTCAGTAGTGGGGGGCACTCTTGGCAGCCTTGGACAAGGGGAGTTATCCAGTACAGTTGGAGGTGGGGAGAGGTGGCAGACCAATTCACAAACCTTAAAGAGTTTCAGGGTGTCAACCCTAGCGCAGGACTTAACAGCTGATGACAGAGCTCACAACTGCACCATCTGGGGAGGGACATGGGGATCAGGCTGTAGCAATACCACGGCAGCTTCACCTGTGCTAGGCAGCCTGTGTTTCTGCAGCAGGAAGTGGAGCCAGCTCAGGAGGCTGGCAGGTGTGGGTAGGGCCTACTATCAGTCCTGGCTAGGCCACCTGGGCCAGGCATGCTGGTAGGAAGTAGCTCCCAGGCCCCCTGTACAGGGGACAAGTGAGACTCAACAGCCTCTTCTGGACCTAGTATATGTGAAGCCACCAACCCCACTGCCTTTTCGGTCTAAGAGACCCCAGTAGAACAAGAAGGGCCTCCTTGCCTCAGACTCTCACTCTCATGTCTACAAAGCAAACTCTATATCCAGGTGACTCATATCTCCTCCTCTCTCTTCCCTTTTCCCCTCCACCAGAGTGTGACTAGAGTACTTTTTCTCCTTTTCCCTGCCAGGAGGTAGTGGGTCTGGAGAAATCACAATCTCTAAACAAGCACAGAGTGCTGAGGTCACATTCAGTCCATCAAGGCCCTCACCCCAGAGCTACAGATCTGTTCTGCTCCTGTTCAGCATACAGAGACCACTTCTAATTCACAGTTGCCCATAGGCTCCAGGATGTACTCAGCCTGGGTCACCTGTGCTAAGACCTGTGACATCATCCCAGTCTGCTGACACTGAAACTTCCCAGGTTCTGTCTGGCAGCAGACTGAGAAGCAAAGGGCAAATAATGACTTAATGAAGACGCCACTATTGGGCAGCACTCTCCACTTGTCAGAGACCCAGGGGACTGAGAAGGACATAAATCTGATACATGGCTCTCCTCAGTTCCTCATAAAGAATGCTGAGCAAGCAAAATGTTCCCAAAATGTGAGTGCAAAATCAATATCCTTCTACAAATAAGAACATGCACCTATAATTTAATACCCCCCCACGCTCCACAGCCAAAGTGTTAATGAGCCCTGCAAGATGGCTGGAGACCTGGAGCGTTATTGGAAGGTGGACATGCATTTGGAACTGCCTGTCCTTCACCTTCCTAGGGACTGCAGCAGCTGGGGATCACCCCAGCTGACTGGGCAACTGACACAAACACCTCACCAGGCCTTCAAGACCTGAGCATGGGGCAGGCTGGGTGTGGAAGGAGGATAGACCAGGAAGATCAGTCCTCTGTAAAGGTTGTGTGATGGTTAAGAGACTCCAGAGGCAGAAGTGGACATTGGTCCATGGCACTGACCACTGTCATTAGCAAGCTGTGAAGACTAGAACGCCCAGCACCAGGACAGGGTGCCTCTAGTGGATGTCTGCTTCAGAGCAAGGCAGAGTACTGATGTCACCAATCGGCTGGCTGAGTGTTCTTTTGTTCTGTCCAGTTGGAAATCCTGGACAAGGAAGAAGCTCTTCAAATGATGGTCTCCAGAGCTTTCATTCCCCGCAGTGTTTGTCAGCAATGAGTGGCAGCAGTAGGCATGGGAAGCAGAGGAAGGGGCGCCCTCTAGTGTCACAGGCCCTGTGAGCCTTGGTATTGGGACCCTTAGCCCTACAAGTGTTATGGTACCCCTGAGGCCTGGAGTATAGGACCTCTGGCCCTTGGCAGAGACCAGCTCTCAGCCTGGAGTCTGTGACCCTTGACCCTGAGGGTTCCACAGTCCTCTGAGAATCTTCCAGTGACCAGGCCTTCAGGTTCTCTTCTCTGGCTCCTTCCAGCTTTTGGTCCATCAGTCTCAGCTCCTCACTCTCTCTCATCATCTTCATTTTTCCTTTCTGCTTCCCCTTTCCCTTCATTCTGTTCCACTATTTCCTCAGCTCTTGGGCAGCTGGCTGCCTGACCCTTCCCTCAATTTGGTCAATCACAGCCTTGCCCAAGGCAACAGCAGGATGTTGTTCAAATGACTGGTGTAGGCATCAGAGTAGTCTGTCCGGCTGTTAGAGTGACAGTCCTTTTCCTCAAGACAACCAGGACAGCAAAGGAGAGTTCATCAGCTGCTAATTAGGTAAATTACCGTGCACCCAACATCTTTGCTTGTTTACAGGAAATGAATTTACAGTGCTTACAATCTAAACTTTAAAATATCATGTTTTTTTCTTGTTGGCAACATCCTCTGTTCAGATAAATTTTACAAAATTATCTCTGTCTTGGGGGCCATGCTCCTGCCCACCACATAACATCTCAGGAACCTCCCGCCAGCTACTGCTGTGACAATGACAACCATGTATGAACCAAGGTCTCCTGCCCTCTGCCAGTGCCCCCGAAGCTTTGGTCAGTGCATGTACTAGCTTGCAAGCTGAGTAACCTATCTTCTCAAGGCTCAGGACTTCTCAAGGTGGTTTTTTTTTTTTTTTTTTTTTTGGTCTTTTTTGAGACAGGGTCTCCCTGTAGCCCCAGCTGTCCTGGAACTCACTATTTGGCCCAGGCCAGCCTTGAACCCACAGAGATCTGCCTGCCTCTGCTTCCCGAGTGCTGGGATTAAAGGCGTGCGCCACCACACCTGGGTTCTCCCAAGGTCTTTTGCAAACATGCAGGCAGGTCAGTTCGAGGCCAGCCTGGTCTACATAGTGAGTTCCAGAACAGCTGGGGCTACGAGACCTGCCTCAAAAAGATGAAAAAAAAAAAAAAAACCAAGTATTTTATGTTACATTTACTGACATGGGCATTGGTGAGCATGGTTGCTTATTTCCACTGTCTATGATATGTGTTTTTGTTTCTTAATATTGATGTCAGCCCTCACTGAATGTCTGCCTCACCAAAGCTACTCAACTTTTCAGTGAGTTAAGTAGGCTAATTTCCTCATCTATAAAATGGCCATAATAGTAGTATTTCTCTCCTAAGGCTTTTAAGTTTTATTTTTAATCTATATTTTGACGTGTCATATGTTGCTTGGATGTACATATAGATACAGAAATGATTACAGCAAGCAAACACTGTCCGTCACTCAGCAGTAATTGCTTTGCTCTGTGATAAGAGCAGGTGGCCTCTCTAAGCAAGTTTCAGGTACAGTATGACAGAACTGCACTGGAGCACCTGAAACATGACTTTTGCTCAGAAAAACAGTGCACATTCTAAGTGGTTAATAATAAATGGCAATATAAACATCCACTTAGTCACAGTTATCAGCGCAGCCAGAAACAGTAATTAGGTTGTTTTCCCCAAAGTCACAGTGATGTGAACCTGGGTCCATATGTGTCAAGTTATAGTCGGAAAGAGGCATCCAGGCCATGTTCAAAGCTCTACCTTCAGACATTTAGACAGCTGAGAAGGCTGATTTAGTGGTTCTGTCCTCCCTACTCCACTCCCCTGAGTGACTACCTGGCCAGCTGTCTATTGGCAAGTGCCTGGAGACCTGAGCAGTCAGCTGAGGTTACTCTGTGTCATCCCTGGTCAGGTGGGCTCAGAGTTCAGAGTCCACTCTGCAGGTGGGCAGCGTAGGCTCCAGGCTCCCAGAGAATAGCAGCATTGTTGCAAAGTCACTATGTCTTGCATGTCTGGGGCTCCCAGGACTCAAATGCTAGTGATCAGGTGAGCCTTGAACTCCTGACTTGGGTCTTGTCAGAGTTGCTACTGAGGATACAGAAGGGTCGGTACCTATGTGAGAGGACAAGGACATCCCACAAGAGAAGACAGTCCAGTTGGGGAGGCAAACTCCACAGGAGAAGGGAGGCAGAGCTACAAGAGAGGGGAGCCCAGCAGGGAAGGTAGGGTCAGCCCTATTTGGGCATCTGATGCTGCAGCCTCTGATCATCGCTGCATAGGATTGGGAAGGGCTAAGTTTCATCTGAGGCACTCATAGCCATAGTTCCTGTTGTCTCTGACACCCAGACAGGAGCATCGTGCCATCTCCCATCTCATCCCTGGGGTATGGTTTCTAACTGGATTTTGACAAGAACTATTAAGAGAATCAAGCAAATGCAGATATGGGAGTTCTGTAAAGGGCAAGTACTGAGCATTTTCTTCATCACTCACTATTAAAAGGCTGGAAGTCAACTTCAGGTGTTTTGTTTTGTTTTGTTTTGTTTTGTTGTTATTGTTTTATCAAGACTCATATACCTTGTGTTTTGAGACAGGCTCTCTCACTAGGACTGGTGCTCACCAATTAGGCCCTGGCACTCTGCCTGTCTCCACAACACCCTCCCAACCCCCGAACCCCGCTGCGGCACTGAGATTACAGGAGCGTATCACTTTGTCCAGATTTGTGCATGGGCTCTGAGAATCAAACCTGAGTACTCATGCTTGTGCAGCTAGTTACCAACTGCGCTATGTCCCCAGCTCCACTCAGTTCCTATCTCCTTGTGCCACAGAAACCTCAAGAAAAGAGAAGTCTCTTCCCCAACCCAGCTTCTGTCTTTGGCCAAGCTTCCTGAGCCCACCAGCCGGGCTGTTTCGCAAGCAGCAGAAATCATGGAAACATCAATACAAACCATGAAATGTGAAAAATTACAGCTCCCCACCGGTAAGCACCCCCATATGCTCTGCACCCGCAGGAGCGCCCCTGGGCACAGTGATCTTGTTCAGGGGGCTGCTGCCTATAGGGTACTGTTTTGTTGTGTGGTAACACCAACCATGGTATCATAGGACAAAAGCAACACCTCTCTAAACTGTCTAATCATATTTGGAGATTCAGCTGTTTTTAAGATATAGAAAAATTTGGGAATTTTCCTGTAGCTTTCCTACCTAGTGAAACTTGGGGAACATGGAGGAAACGTTCATGGGTCGGGGCCTGTCACAGCAAGCAGAAGACTAGACAGGAGATTTAGCTTCAGTTTGTAGCCAGAGCCTTCTGACTTGTCAGTTGCCCAAGGGCTGGGGCAGCCATATGGGCACCTCAGAACTGAGCTGGGCTTATAGTCTCAGCTGCTCACATGGTGGCTGCAGCAGAGCCCGTTTGAAGGAAGCACACACTGGCTCAGATGAAAGCCTCTGTGGATGTGAGATGCTGAGGCAACAGTGACCGTGGTCCAGAGATGCTTCAGGATTCCTACAGCGCAGCACTAGAAAACAAAGCTGCTTCTAACAAACTTGGTGAGATTTCTTTTCAGTGCAGCCCCATGAAGTTACTTGGTCTCTGGGTTATTCCTCCTAATAGGTTAATCTAGTGCTGATTTGCCTAACAAGATGAACTCATTTTAAGCCAGAATTTACCACAATTCTCGGGTCTACACTGAACAGTTAAGTTCCCTTGATTTTATAGCAAACAAAAAGGGCATTCGAAAAAGGATTTGCTTCAGACCACGTGGTTGGAAGACATTTCTAAGGACTTTAGCGTCTGTCCTGTGGTGACAGAACCTTGGACAGTGGTAGATGTGATGGTAGGATGACCAATCCTGAGGGTGGAGGCCTACTGGCTCTTGCTTCCGTGTCACAAGGCCCCTCTTCCCAGGACAATGAGAGAAGATTGATACGTTGGTCCAGGTAGCAATGTGGATCATAGAACACACTAAAGAATATTTCAAGTTGTTTCCACTATAGATGCAGCCACTCCAGAACATTTAGGATTTGAGGAAAATAAAAAGATCCAAGTAGACGTCCTGCAAGTCCTTCATGAGCAAAGTAAAAGTGTACTGGTGAAGGTGCCTCTCTTTCCAAGCTGTTTCTGAACAGCTGGTTGTTGACTAACAAAGGTTCAGTCACATGATTCTCTTTGTAGGCCTTTATTTACTATGCTTTAGTATGTATAGAACACACAGCCCTTCCTTAGCTAAAAGCAAAGGGCTTCAGTTCCCTCCCTGTCTCCCCAGGCTGAGTGGGAATACTCAGTGTTGGGGTGTTTGTCTGTTTCTCCCCTATTTGAGAATGGAATGCATTCTTGAAGGAAATTTTTAATAAATACCTTGATTTCATTAGTGTATAGTCATCAAAGTTTTATAGTGATATCATCAAAGCTTTAGATAGGCCAGGTAAGCTGCCTTGGCTGGGCAATGCCCAGCAGCAAAGCAGCCCTCACCTTGATTTGTCGAATAATATAAACAGTGACAGATTTGGGAATAAAAACAATAAATAAAAACAGAAGAGGCTGCGTTCAGAGACTCTAGAGAAATTTATAAGAAGGGGGCCAAAAATCGATGAGGGGAAAAATGAAGGCTTTTGTAGAGAAGTGAACGCCATTAGCAGACTTGGCCATGGCAGGTTTTTATGGACGAAATGCACATTCTGTCTTCACAGTCTCCTGAAGCATTGGGTCTTTGTGAAACAGGAACGTCTTGCTATGCAGATATGTTGGGTTGGCTCATCCTGCGAGACAGTTGACAAGTCCAAGAAGTGGCCTGCTGGCTTCTCTCTCTGGAGCCTCGTGGCTCTTAGGTTGATTTTCTGAAACATCGCAAAATAAAAATTAAACAAAGTCCCCACATTCCTACCAATGAGGATGTTCAAGGGGATAAATGAAGGGAACACATAACTAAAAGGGAGAAGGCAGGATTTCGCAGAACAGTGACTGAGGCCACACAGAACCCCCTGACTTAGACACTAATGCTGTGATTAAGCCCACATTGGAAAAGCTACTTTATCAGGCAGATTGATGTTACAAACAGTCTGGTCGTTGTTTGTGTGCAGATGCCCTTTCAGCAGACCTCCTGGGCACAATTGCCAACCTTTCAGGATGCCTGCCTTTCATGCTGCCACCAAAATGCCCAGACACCTGCTTGGCAAATAAATACCGACTCATCACGGGGGCTTGCAACAACAGGTACTGTGCGCAGACATCTCTCTACCCCTCATAGGCTTGGAGTTGAACATGACTAGAAGCTGTCATGAAGGAGGCTCTAGACCAGTGAATTGTGAACGCCTACCCCTCTGTCTGCCCCATTCTGCCACACTCCAACTACCTGACATTGCTACCACATGCTGCAGATACAGCTAGCAGAGGAGAGTTTTTCTGGTCCCTGTCTGACCCTTTTCTTTCTAAATTCATAGAACAGCATTGCCCCTTACCTAATACCTCAAGCCAGATGCTCAGACATCAACTTTGACTTCTTCAAATCTCTTGCCTGTTTCCATTGCCTCACTAAGACTATCTGCTCCCTCCCTCTAACCTCAGCTAAGTGAAGAATTTGGCCATCTGCCACAAGGCACCAGGCTCTGCATGGTCCTCCTAATTCAGTTCTTCCTTTCCTCCATTCATGCCCCCTATCATAAATGCCTCCCTCCCCTCCCCTCTTGGCTTTAGCACAAGACCTCAGTTCAGAAGACTCTCCTGGGGCATCTCACCTACCTGAGTCTAGTCAGTTGCTTCTGTCACATGATCCTGTTGCAGCATCTCCATAGCACTCATCACTGCTACATTACTTTCTTCATGTTTCTCATGGTTTAACTATTACCCTTACCTTCTCCCAATCCTTCACCCCTAGATTATGGGATCCATAACCCAGTCTTGTCTCGATATACTGCTATATGACAGGCTGGATAGGGATAAATGAATATCCAGGGACGTGGAACAAAGGTGTGTAAGGGCACTATCTGGGAAAACAAGCCCCTTGGTGCATGGCATATTCAAAAATTACCTTTGGGGTTGAGTTTCTTCTCAGTTGCCAGCAGATGCCAGCCCTTTCTTGGGTTCTTCCAGCCCTCCCAAGGGACCTTTGCTGTTAGGCTATTTCCAGCAGGTATCATTCCACATGTACTGAATGGTCTCACTTATGCTGCTTTGGGCTGTTAAATCCAAGGTACTGATGTGATCACACCCACATCATTTCTTACTCTTTAGCTAGACATGTTCCTCTTACCAGGATTCTGGCTGCCTCTATCAGCATCTGCTTCTGCGGTCTCCACATTTCAGATGAGGGCAGTTCTCTCTGGAATAACTGTGCTGAGTTCAGCAGTATAGGCCCCAGTTGCCCACTTGTCACTTGCCCAGGCAATAGCAGGATTCTTTCTTCTTGGGATGCTCCTTCCAGGATTTCCAGTTTCAGGCTCACATGGAGCACTTCAGCCTCTGTCTCTGTAGCCTGTGCTGATCTTGTGTCTCTCCACAGTGTATCCAGCCTCTGGTCACATTTCTGCAGCCTGGTTTTTCTCCAGTCCACCGTTTGGAGGGGGAGAGTCCCCTCTCTGGAAATTCCTGCTGGCCTTGACCCAAGCTTCACAGTGCCACTGGGCACCAGGTTCACATTGCCCCTGACTCTGGAGAGCTCGCCTAGTGTATTCTCTTGGTTTTCAGCTCATGTCTCTTGTAGGAATGCAATAATCCCGCTGCTTACTATCTTGACTTTCTCTCACTAGGCCAAACTGAGGGTTCTTGGCTTCCTTTCCCGTTGCTATGATAAAATGTTCTGACACAGCAACTTAAGGAAGAAAGGGTTTGTTTTACCTCACTGTTTAGAGCTATAGTCCACCATGGTGGGGGAGCCAAGGTAGCAGGATCACGGAGCAGCTGGTCACTTTTCATCCACAGTCAAGAAGCAGACAGCACGGAATGTTGCTGTTTGGCTGGTTTTCTCTACTTCCTCCAGGATTCCCTCATAGGGAATGCTTCACAGTTAAGATGGCTCTTCCCACATCAACTAAGGTAACCAACATGCTCTTCCACAGGCACTGCCAGGTGATTCTATATTCTGTCAGGTTAACAATTAACACCAACCATCAAAGGGCTTCTAATATATCATCTTAACCTGCAAGTCCCTCATTTGATACTTTTTGTGGCATTTTTAGTGGGGACTGAGCAGAGTTTTTTGTGTGTGTTTATATATATGATATTCAATGTATTTAGAAAATCTTTTACTCAATGAGTTGCATCAACACTTTACTAAGAACCACGGAACTTCATGTGTGTGTGAACTTACTGCTAGACTCTGGTAAGCAGGGGAGAAGGGATATGAAGTACACGACTGATCATATGGGTCTTAGAATCCAATGGAAACCAAGACCTCTGTGTAGGAGAGATAGCAGTAGGGTCAGATGCTAGAAGCTACATGGACCATCCCAGCAGAGGAAAATAGCCTCCTGAGAACTGGTTTTTCCACCCCAAGGAGCTAAGGACAGACGGCTGTCAGGAATGGGTAGAGCAGAGCCCCTACCCCAATCACCATTGTCCCTGACCATGGCTTTTCACCCATTTAGTTGTCAGCACTCTGGTTTTGATCGTCAGTAAGTTCTCTCTGCTCTGATTACTACTGGCTCCTAAAAAACTCCAGTCAGCTACCCCACTGCCATGACCTTCTCTTTCCTCAGAGTCAAAGCTCCTCTGAGTATCAGCCCTTCCCACTGCAGAGCTGCTTCGGTTACAGCCACTCAGCTGTAGCTGTGAGTGCAGCTGCATCCCTGGGCACTGTCTCCCCTCCCTGAATACACAGCTCTTAAATAGTGCTTACCAGGGAACTACACCACAGACATGTGTCCTAGGGAACTCAAGAACGTTTCCTGAATGCAGGAATTCTAGAAACTTCTGTGCCCAGACATGAAGTCGCACCTACCATCCAACAACATCCCTGTGGGTAGGTGTTGGAGATCTGGAGCTGGCTACTTAGAGATTTCCTAAGGCAGGACACAGTGGCTAAATTCTAAACCAGCGGACTCAATTCTCAGCCCTTTGACGTTTGCCTTTCAGGTTTGTTTCCACCCTGGGTGTGTTCTACCTGCCCACACAGGCTTTTTCTTCTACTCTCGCAGTTGTTCATTGTTGTACCCTGAGGAGAGTCAATCCAGCCATCCACCACATGTGCCCTTCAGGCCTGTCTCCTTGAGAATGCAGGTTAAATTATTCTGGGACATCCTGCCCCTCCAGCTGGGGGCCAAGAGTACACAGTTGAGTCCATGGGGCCCTTTCTAAGGTAGGACCTAGGAGAAGTGACCAGGTCACTGGGGACATCATCCTTAACAGGAATTAATGCAGTTCTGTGACCATGTCAGCACCCACAAGAATGTGTTGTTACAAAAAGAGACCAGCTCCTGAATCTCTCTGTGCGCCTGTGGTCTCTCCTCACATGTACTATTCCCTCTGCAACATCACCTACCATGCTGTGGTACAGCCAGGAGGCTTTAATATGGACCAAACCAATGGGGTGCCTGATTTTGAACTTTTAACCTCCAAAACAATGTGCTAAGTCCTATCCTCTATAAATTGCCCACCTTGGGTATTTTGATAGTGCAACAGAAATTGGAGTAGAATTGGCCTTCTGGGGCTTCCTCCCACCTTGACCCAGCTTGAAAACTGCACTTGCTGATGACCCTGGGTGATGTTCAGGCCAGGCAGGCCACAGCAGAGCTCTGTGGGTGGGATGCAGCTTAGCTGTCATTCACTGTGGCAGGTGATGCTGAGGAGCACCCAGGAACAGCAGACGTGGCATGATTCTGTTCCAGGTATCAAGAATGAACTCAAAATACTTAACTTCCTTATTTTGATAATTAGAATGAAAGTCTATAAAATTAAAATACAATTGAAAAATGAGTATATCTGTTTTATGCTCCAATCTCTGTGGAAAGAGGAAAATAAGAAACAAAATGAAAAAGAAGGACCACACAGGGGAAGTAGGGAAATACCAGGTAGGAGCCGAGGGCCCTCCCCTGCAAGTGGATGCAGGTAAGAGCAATGCTTTTGAGACCACAGCCTGGTATCCAGACCTGGCCCTCCAGGAGGCAGTATGACCCTCCTGACAAGGACGGTGACAGCTGAACCCAGGGCAGAGCAGAGTGTGCACTCCAATGCTACCTACTATGTCATGCTTGAGGCTTGGCCTCTAGGAGGGCACAGATGTGAATGTGTCCTGCCCTGTCAGCCAAGCCCACCCTCTGTAGCCCAGTGTAGTAATTACTGACTGTCACACTAAGCAACTCCAGCTTCAGCATCAAGCCAACCCTTCTTGGCCACAGGTTGGAGCAGCAGGATATCCCAGAGTAACTCACCCTGCTTTCCCAAGGAGACAGGCCTGGAGGGCCCCTGTAGTGAATAGCTGGCTGGACTCTCTTCAGGGTACAACCACATCTCAGAATTAAAGCAGAACTCAGAAAACATATGTGATGATCCTTGGTGATTTTGCCCTTCCTGGTCTTCTCAGCCCCTCGCAAGAGCTCACTGGAAGGACTCTAACCTTTGCCTATCAGGCAGGCTAACCAACTGGGCCTCCCATTCAGAGAAGATGAACCTGCACCAGTCTGCAGAAGGTGACCCCTACTAAGGGCCAGCACATCAGCTTCCTTACAGTACTGATTCTGCATTCAGTCTCCTTCTTGGGGGGACATTTTGTGTTCAATAGAGCCCAAGCACCCAGGAATAATTCTTAGGGGAAATAACAGACTCTGACAGGAAAGTTTGATAGATGTATTTCAGTTATAAGAACTTCCAACTCCATCTGCACATAGAATCTAATTTGCTGTAGAAGTGTCTGTATTCGTTTGCCTAAGAGTTGTTAACCTTTGGATCCATCTTCCAAACATATTGTGCAATGACCTAACTCCTGAGAACTGACAGCTTCAGCTGGGACCATTCCAGAAGGATTAGCTAACAGCAGGCTATGTTACTCCAGGGGGGCCTGATGACTTGTGTGCGTCTACAAACACAGTGAACAGTTCCCCTGAATGTGTCTTGTGGCACATAGTCCCAGTCACCTTAAATCCCTCACTTGTTTTTCCTTTTGTGTTTTGACCTAATTCATGAAACTGTGATACTTCTTGGAGTTTCCTAGGAAATGCTTTAACACAATCTTCTTTGGGGAAAGTCTATGCATTGGAAGTTAAGCTGCTTTAAATAATTGTTATCAATACGAGCTTGTGCAGTTTAAGTGGCACTTTAAAATTCGAAGAGGAAGATGTGGCTTAATAATGTGGAAACCAGAGACAAAAACAAAACCCCCTTGATTGGGTGGGAGATCCGTACACCCAACAAGCTCGTTAACTTTTAAGGAAAAGGAAGAGATGGCCCTGGTGTCCTATGGAGCACTGTAGACCATCACTTGGGTACCAGTGGCTCCAGAAGAGAGATTTTCAAAACTCCTGAAGAAAGTCACACTCATACCAATAATAGAAAAGCTCATTCCTCATGTGAGAGACCCCAATGTGCTTCATTGACCATGGCACTAGTAATCCCATCTCCAAGCTAGTTTAGTTTCTACCAACGCAGTAGCTCTCGCCAGAAAACCCACAGATCAGGAGCTGAGCCTCCTCAGTCTTCCAGGCCACCCTCAGGCTACTCTAGGGCTATGCTGCTAAGGTGTGCCGTGCTGTTCTGTGAGTGCCTGTGCCGTGCAAAGCAGCCACCGTCCACATCCCATGTCATTCCACCTCACTTCTGGGAAAGCCACATGAACATAGAAGAATTAAAAGGATAGCCAATCTCTCATGTGACCCAGGCCACTCCACCACTTCCTCCTGTGGCTGGGGCTGGGCCGAGAGCTGAGCAAGCACCCTGACACCTCCCAGCCTAGTAGATTCTTGCTCCCTCTCCTACTGGATATATGGGGGTTCCTTGTCAAAATTTGGAACACTGAGAAGATCACAATGCCTAAGTCCTGGTCACTGACGCTGTGGAGGAAGCACATACACGGCCCCCTGTAAAACACTTTCAGAAGTGTTTCTATTCACTCTCGCTGTCAGAGTGAATTTTGCTTGGCTGCCGTTAATCCCAGTCTAATAAAGAATAATGAGGATCAGCTGGGTATGGGGGCGCTCACCTTTAATCCGAACACTCAGGAGGCAGAGACAGGTGGATCTCTGTGAGTTCAAGGCCAGCCTGGTCTATATAGTGAGTTCTAGGCTAGCTGCTGGGGCTACAGGGAAACGCTGTCTCAAAAAGAAGAATGATGAGGCTCAATACAGTGCCATGTGTTGATTCCACCAGGGACAGAGGGTCTTTCAGCACTAGCTAATGGTGTCTCTGACCAGTCCTCCACAGCCCAAGGGTACCAGGGTAGCCAGTGGTATCCCCCACTGTCCAGCTGGGGTCCTATTGAGAATCTGGGTGACCACAGCAGCAGCTGAGTTTTCTTGAGCTCCTAAAACATCTGAGAGAACCATGGAAATATGAAAGTCAACCAGAAAAGAAACAAAGAGAAGAAATCACAGCTAGCCCGTTAAATGAATATTCTGTTAGTGAAATATTGCCTCTCTGGGTTCCCATGGAACCAGCTCCAATAAAGAGCAGCCGACTGTTACAAATGGCACAAGAGGCTGGCTGCCTTCGTGTAGCTAATGAAAAGCACTAGTGCAACACTTGCCTTTGCAAACTGAGTCACTTGTTGGGCTGGAGGTCAATGAAGTACTAACAGTGAAATCATTCCCCATTTACTGACTGTAGACCCACAAGACACCAGGCCTCCCTGGAGCATCATGGCGTGTCCCTAACTAGTCCTTCTAGAATAATCCTACTTGAAGAAGCAGACATGTAAACAACAAAGCCCCTGCCTTCTAGGGTCCTCTCAAGCTGTTCTTAGCAATGCATAGCTGTTCTCCCTCCTCAGCAGAGCATCACAGTCAGTCACACTTAGAAAATAATGACAATGTCTGTCTATCCACGAGGGTGTCAATAACAAAGTAACAAACAATTTTTGAAAATCCATATTTCCAAACACTCTAAACAATTTCCGAAATCACTTATCTGGAACCCGGTGTTGTGGCACATGCCTTTAATCCCAGCACTTGGAGGCAGAGGCAAACAGATGTCTCTGAGAGTGAGACCAGGTCTATAGAGAGAATTCTAGGCCAGCCGAGACTACAAGGAGACCTGTCTCAAAACAATCGAATAAAAAGTGACTTATCTGGAGTTTTGGAGATGGCTCAGCTGGTAAAGTGCTTGGCATGGCATGCAAGGTTGAGGAATAGAAGTAGACCCGAGTCCATGTAAATGTGGGGTGACTTTGACAGCCCACCTGGAACCCCAGGGCTCAGGAGGCAGAGACAGAATGTCTCTGGAGCAGGCTGGCTAGCCAGACCAACCAAAATGGTAAACAAGAAAACCTGCCTAAATATATATGGTGGATAGTGATAGAAGAGGACAACTGAACTCAACCTCTGACCTCTACATATATGTGTACTCTTGCATATACCTGCATACACATGTGCACCCCCCCCACATGCATACACATAAACATTCATGAGCAAAAACCACCTTATTTCCAAATAATTTTGTAGTTGTTTAAATTTTTTGGATTTATTTGTTTTCATTTTATGTGTATGAGTCTTATGCCTGCATGTATGTGAGTGCACCCATGTTATGTAGCGCCTGTGGAAGACAGAAGAGGGCATTGGATCCTCTGGAACTGGAGTTATGGGCAGCTGTTAGCCACCATTTGGGTGCTGGGATTCAAACCCCAGTCTTCTGCAAGAACAGCCAGTGCTCTTAGCTGCTGAGCCCTCTCTCCAGCCCCTATAACTCTGTATTTTAAGGACATATACATCAGATAAGAACTTTTAAAGTCAAGGGGCTGGAGAGATGACTCAGCAGTTAAGAGTACTAGTTGCTCTTACAGAGGACCCAAGTTCCGATCCCGGCACCCACATGACAGCTAATAACCATCCATAACTCCAGTTCCAGGGATATGATGTCCTCTACTGATCTCCTCGGGCACTTCACAACACAGGCACAGTTACATACATGCAGGCAATACACTCACACACATAAAATAATACATAAAAATTTTAAAAGAATTTTTACAGTCAGTATCTCAGTCATTTCTATTTCAAATTCCTTTCTCCATGACCTCTCAGTCCCTCAACAAAAGTCAACCACCCACCTCAGACTCCACAGCTTCACCCCTTACACACCTCAATAATCCCTGCCTCCCTCCTCCACAACTCACCTTAGATCACTGATCGTGTTTCCCTCTTATGAGGCAGGAGGTGGACACTCAGTTATTTCCCCTCTGCAGTAAAGGGGGCTGGAGAACTTGTGTATATAAACTTGTAGTCAAAAATAGAAGTTCAGGCTGGGCGTTGTGGCACATGCCTTTAATCCCAGCACCTGGGAGGCAGAGGCAGGCAGATCTCTGTGAGTTCAAGGCCAGCCTGGTCTACATAGTGAGTTCCAGGACAACTGGGGCTATAGGGAGACCCTGTCTCAAAAAGACTGAAAAAAAAAAAACCCAGTTCATTGTAGAAATTAAATCTGGGCTTCAAAATTCTTTATAAGCTATATGAGAAAGTGAAAATGTAATGAGCTATCATTAAAATCACTTCCTAAGCCTGGGGATGTAGCTTTGTTTGTAGAGTACTTGTCTAGCAATACATAAAGCCCTGGGTTCAATTCTCAACACCATGTAAATCTGACCTGGTAATACGTCCTTGTAATGCTTGTAACCCCAGCACTGGAGAGGTCATCTATGGCTACCTAGCGAGTTAGAAGCCAACCTGGGCTTTACAAGACTGTTTCAAAAACAAAAATCACTTTATCGATCAATCAGCAAACAATGTTAAACAAACCTTGGAAAGCACGTATTTTATCCCTAGAAACAGAGACCAGTCATTAATATTTCATTTTCTCATTTCTGGATAAGACTCCAAAATATGTCAAATGATACTTAATTACAGCCTGCCCTCTTCAGCTTAGAGGCACCATCCCAGATACCCAACTCAGAAGCAGCTTATAAAATCATTAAAGTATTGCTAAACACAGCTGTGCCTCCATTTGCACCATAAATTTATTTTTGCCAAAATATACTTTGATCAATAGAATAAAACTGCAGCTCAGTCTAAGTGCAGGAAACTCCCCTTCAGCCTTGGTGATGGAGTTCATTCTCCTTGTCAAAGCAATCAGTTCCAAAGGGCCCAATTTTATTTTTAATTCAAGAAAATGTATTAATATATGTTCCCTTGACAATCCTCTCACTTCTGAATTTAGAACATTTCAACAAGTTCCAAAGTACCCTATTTCTATCAAACATATCATCCTAATAAGCAGCTAAGACAGGGAAGTGCAAGGGTCCTGGATGGACTTATGATGTTTTGATTAAAGATGTTTAAATATAACAATATTTCAAATAGCCTGTCTGAGGACCCCAAGTGTCAGAATGACCCCATGGTATATTCTAGAAGGATGGGTCCCTTACTCTGAAGAGAAGGCCCAGGAAGGCTCCTGGGAAGGAACAATGGGAAGATACCACCAGCAGCCAGGACACCTTGAGCTATGATTCCCACTCAGGAAGAGGGCATAGGGACTTGGGTCCTGGACATCAGTTATCTTACCATTCCCCAGGGAAAGCCACTGGGAAGGCAGCTGATACGCCCCAGCTGGAGACTTCTTTAAGCCAGGGTCTTAGAAACACCATCCTCATCCAAACTTTCTTTATTCTCCCCCATCTTAAACACATGCCTCCCATTTGTTTCCACAGAGATCACCCCAGATGGGGCGCCTCTAACACAGCCTTGGCAAGATGGCTGCCTCCTGTCTACGAGGACGGCTTCAGTCAGCCGAGAGGCTGGAACCCCAACTTCCTATACCATGGCTTCCCACTGCCCTCGGTTGGTACTTACTCAGAACCTACTTCAACAGTACAGGAACTGATTTTCCATAATGTTAACATACACCCCATAGCCTTGGAGGGCACTAGGCTCCTATTGCGATCTTGTTTAATATGCTTAGGGGTTCACATAATCCCTTGTGGTTCCAAACTCCCTATGAGATAGGGGTCCGGACATGTAACACCTACAAATAAGGCTCTATCCTCACTCATCTACTGGGTGGGACAACATAGATTTAAATTCAGTGTCACCTAATATGACATCTTTCCCCTTGACAAGCATTTTAATATTCTCAAGTAATTCCTTTATTCATCAGGTAGAAGATCAGGTACAGCCAAAGACTTGTATTCATTAATCACTCATATACGCTCATTTATGTACAGGTTTTACTCCCAGAGACACATTTATTTGAGAAACACATTCATACCTAACCTATTGATCCTTTAGTACAGTGTGCACTAATTGACTTCACTGATCCATCTGGTCAAAACAAGTTCCATTTTGGCTGTGATTTGATTCCTAATGTCAGTGGGTAACCCAAGCTTTCATTTTTATGCCATATTCCATAAGAAATTCCCAAGATATAGAACAGCAGGTAATTGGCTCAGCTCAAAGAACACTAGTACCAGAAGTGAGGCGCCAACCCAGTCTGCTGTGGACTGACGCCTTCATCATTACAGAGATTACCAATGGAGTTGACCCTGGACACAGGCATTTTGCTGTCTCTTTAGTGAGAGAGTGTGAGAGTTCTCCTAAGCAGCTGGCGAGGATCAGAAGGTGTAGTTGGGAACCAAGGCTCACTGAGCAAGCTTGGTGTCCACCCTTAACTTCCCGCTAGATACTTGCCATCTGAGCCTTAAGTGTATTTATTCTGTGAAATGGGGTCAGGTTCTCTTGCTTATTTTGTGTTTGGCATTGGACCAGTTCAAATCTTGAGGCTTTCTGAACTCTGTTATGATAGTGTGATTCTACAAACCCATGTTTGCTCAGATATAATTATTTACAAAAATCCTAAGTCAAATATGTTTAAATTTAGACTGTTCGTTTCCTGCTCTTGCTCAAAAAGATTAATCCAATTTTAGTGTCCTAAGGTCACATGAATTTATGATCCTTCCGTTTTATAAATCAAAAGTCTAAGAGGAGCTTTCTTGGGCTGAAGTCAAGGTGTTACAGGACTGTGTCCTTTTAGAAGCCCTTGAAGGAAAAAAAAATCCATCTCCTTGACTTATCTAGCTTCTTATATGTGGGCAGGGTATTGAGGTTTAACCCAGGGCTTTGCACATGCTAGTCAAGTGCTGTACCACTGAGTTATGGCCTCAGCCCCATCTTTTCTGACTTCCAAAGGCTGCTCATCATTGGTTTATGGCCTCCTCCTTCAAAGCCTCCACTGTTGCATCTTTCTGTGCCTTCTAACCCAAGTCACAACTCTTTGACTGCAGTCAAGAAGGCACTCAAATTTTAAGGGCCGTTGTGACCATACTGAATTTACCTGGATACAAGGAATAACTCTGCATCTCAAGATCTTTGATATAATTACACCTTCAGGTTATACATTCTGAAATAGGCATATTTGGGGGTGTTATTCTGCCTACCAGAATCTACTCTCTGATACCCATAAGGTCATATCCATGGATCTGCCAAAGCCCCCCAAACCTACCACTGCACTGCACTGCCCAATGCCCAATCCAAATTTCACCGTCCTAAGTCACCAAAATCACATGGGAAAGACTCTGAGTGTGATCTGCCTGGGGACAAATTCCCTTCCCTCTCTCTCAAATCTGATGACCTGAGTTAAGTACCTGTACCCAGTGGTAGAAGAAGGAAATCAGCTTGTGAAACAAGGAAACTGTTTTCTTCTCCCAAGAACAGATAAAATGGTTACAACTCTCCCAGGACAGGGAGGAAGAAAAGCAGAGAAAGAAGGAGCAGATGGTCCCAAGCTGTTGGGGACATCAGCCAGGCAGCTGATCTTTAGCTGATCTATTAGGTTTCAAGCCTTGGTCAGAACCCTGCAGTTCAGGTTTGAGTCATGGGCTGTGTGACACTAATGGCTGCATGCTCCTCCCATATTCTCAACAACCTGGAAATTGATGGCTTTCTATCCCCTTGCAGATTATATGTGCTCTGAGAAGTAACCCAAAAGGCCCCAAATCACCATAAATCAGGGGCAGTTTTCCAAGTCCAGGTGTGTCTGCCTTCCAGCTCAATCTTCCTACCATGTCCATGGGGACAGGTCTTCCTGGAGTCTCCAGAGCTGTGAGAAATCACCCCACCATAAAGTTAAGACCCAAGGCCTACATTCTTGGCCACAGTGCAGCCTAACTAGGTCATGACAAGCTGGTTTCTTCATCCAGGTACGGGAGGTGACAAGGCAAATCATTCAAGTTTCAAATGAGGCTGTGACAGAAGACGACCAGTACTCTGACTTCCTGACAGTCTGGGGACAGTATATTGATCACGACATTGCTCTCACGCCACAGAGCACCAGCACTGCTGCCTTCTGGGGAGGCGTCGACTGCCAGCTGACCTGTGAGAACCAGAACCCATGCTTCCCCATTCAGGTAATTTCCCTAAACTCTTAATGTGTTACAAAACAAACAGATGGTTTTAAGAAACATCAAACAGAAAGGTCTGAAATGAAGTGCAAAGTCTCCTTCCCATGTCCTGTCCCCAGGGGTTGGCCTACATTTGCTGCTTGGACTTTCTACACACCTCTGTATACAATGTTAGTTTGTGTGTTCGAGGATTCTACACTTCCAGGCTCTGCCATCTGTGTACTCTGAAGCCATGATAAGCACCCAGCAATAACTCATATCCCTTTCTCCACATCATTTAGTCAATAGAAATTTATTTTATGGCTTATGATTCCTGTCATCCTAGCATTCTGGAGGCTGAGGCAGGAGGATTGTCATGAGTTTGTGGTCAGCCTGAAGTATATTAAGAGTTTCAGGCCACACTCAACTACAGAGACCTTGTCTCAAAAAAACAAAACACAAAATTCTATCACAGGTATGATTATAGCATATTTAATGAATACCCCTAATAATGAGGATCTCAATAGTCTTTAGTATTCTTATTTTGCCATCACAAATAAGGAAGCAAAGAACATACCTGGGCCTAAGTCCTCACCCACATGTGCTTATGCAATGAGGAGTCACTAGGTATAAAACTCCTAGATCACTAGCAGACACTCTTGAAGTGTTAACGGACATTACAGGTTGCTGACCATGAAGGCTCCTCTGATTTCCTCTCATACAGCAAGGAAAGAAGAAATCCAGGTAAGGGTTTAAATTGCTTCTCTGTGGAAAACAGCTTTGTAGCTCACTGAACCCATTTTCTAGGTCAGCGAACAGATTGAGGTTGGTCTTCACTAATACCAGATAAACCTCTACTGGGTAGCTCCTCTGTGCTCACTGTGCTCTGGCCTGGCAAGGCCTTACACAAGAACCAGCAGTTACAACACCTTGGGCATCTGCAGAGGAGCCCCATTGGCAAGACACAAATACAACTCACCAAAGAAGAATCTGGGGAACAGAGGGAACAAAGCATGATGTGCTCACCCAGTCCCTGGCTGAGGGGGTTGTCACTGCTCCACAGAGGCCTCTCATTGGACGTCCCTGGAGCTTCCTTAGCTGCACAGGCCTCCTGCTCAGAGTGCTTTGCAGCAACCTGGGAACTCAGTTGTCTCCTCTCCACAATCAGGCCTGCCCAGTCTCTTCTTGACATAAGACCCATATCCCTGGCATGGAAGGGTCTGTCAGGCAAAGCCTCTGTGTACATCTCAGAGGGTCTACACCAGAATCTGCAGAGTTGTGTTAGGTAGCTCAATGAGACTACTTTAGTTGATTATGAATGCAGGTCTTATGAGGGTTGTGAGGCAGAGGTACAACTTATTTTTCTAAATTGGCTTAGAATACTCTACTTTCACACTGACCAAAGTGTGACCTTCATGGAATGTGGAGCTGCCACGTTTATCATTGTGTCAGACACTTTTGTCTCTATGACAGAGTATCTGGTGAAAGAAAATTTAAAGGAGGAAAATTTATTTTGGCCCAGGTTTAGAGGTTTCTGCCCATGATCAGCCAACTCCATTGGTTTTAGACCCATAGCAAGGCAGGAACATCGTGGAAGAAGGTCACGCTGGATCAACACTGGTCACCTCTTGCCATCCAGGAAGGAGAGACAGGAAGGGGATGGGGATGAAGTTCTCCAAGCAGGCCCCAGCTCCTAAGAGCTCATTCATTCAACTATTATGTCATCATAGTAGATTACACCAGCATGGCTCCATCACCTCCCAACATTGCCATCTGGGAATCAGGATGCTTTATACCAAACTATAGTACTTACCTTGGCCTCTGGCTCCCACTGTTGTCTAATTACTGAGCTCTAGATTTTGGGTTAATGATCAGTGATACAATGGTCCTCACTGCTGTTTTTATAACATTATTAAGGCTCTTTTTCATATCGTTAGTTCATGTAAATTTAGAATTAGCTTGTTAAGCTCTATGAAAAGCCCTTATTAGGATTTTGAATGAGATGACTCCTGTTTATGGGTGAGTTTAGACTTTTGTGTTTGTCTTACCCTGAACCTTCCTTTCCAACAAGATATCTTTCAACTTATTTTTTAAATTTATATTATGTGTATGAGTGTTTTGCCCACATGTGTGTAAGTGTAGTGACCACAGAGGTCAGAAGAGGGCATCAGATCCCCTGGAACTGGAATTATGGATGGTTGTTAGCTGCCATGTGGGTGCTAGGAATCAAACCTGGGCCTTGTGGAAGAGCAGCCAGTGCTCTTAACCACTGAACCATCTTTCCAGCCCCACATCTTTCAACTTATTGAATCCTTCACATTCTAGCTTGTGTTGCTTTGTCTGTTAATGTTACACACATATTTAACAGATATGAGTTTTACTGCTATAGTAAGTAAAGCCCTGTTCAACTACATTTTTTTTTAATTTTATGTGTATGAGTGTATTGGCTGCATGTATGTGAGTGCACCCGTGTCGTGCAATGTCGTGGAGGTCAGAAGAGGGCTTTGGATTTCCCTGGAACTGGAATTAAGGACGGTTTGTAGCCGCCATGTGGGTGCTGGGAATCAAACCCAGGTCCTCTGCAAGGGCAGTCAGTGCTCTTAACCACTGAGCCATCCCTCCAGCCCTCAACTATATTTTTAATTGGTCATTTATTAGTCAGGAAACAATTTTTTGAAATGCTGTTATTAAACTTAACCAGTTTATCAAAGTTCATTCATCTCAACAGCCTGTTCAGGTTATATATAAGGATTATATTGGGATTAGGGGGCGGCAATAATTGTATCTTCTCCTTTCTTTCCAATATGAAACTTCACTGCATACTGACACAGACTCAGTGGACACTTGTAACTGGTGAAATATCAGCCCTTGGACTATGTCCTCCTGACAATGAAGTGGTTCTAACCTCTCACTAAGCGCTGAATTGGTTATAAACTTCTGCTAGATAAATTCAGTCAGATAAAGATAATTGTTTTTCGGGCTGGAGAGATGGCTCAGCGGTTAAGAGCACTGACTGCTCTTGTAGAGGACCCAGGTTCGATTCCCAGCACCCACATGGCAGCTACAAACCGTCCTTGACTCCAGTTCCAGAGGAATCCGAAGCCCTCTTCTGACCTCTGCAGCATTGCATGACATGGGTGCACTCACATACATGCAGGCAATACACTCATACACATAAAATAAAAATAATAAATAAAAATTTGTTTTTAAAAGATATTTTTTTTTCATCTGTAATTTTACAAGACTCTTTATTAAATGTGTGAGTTGGGGATTTTCCTGCTGCTTTCCCATACCCATTAAGGAGACGGCAGAATTCCTTCTTTCCTCCATCGTAATGAATTACTACTGGGAGATTTTCTAACATTGAGTCATCTTCGTGTTATTGCAAGGCCTCTTTGGCTGTAGTGTAGATCGTAATCTGTTGTTATTCTGAATTTACTGACATTTTGCCTGGAGTTTACAGACCTCTTCTCCAGTGATATGACTCTATGGCTTCCATTTCTTTAGCTGAGCTTTTTTTCCAGTGGATTTTATGGATATTTTGATCACGAAAGAATCGAGGATCACCCACTCTCCCATACTCAGGATTAGTTCGTGTAAAAATGGACTGTTTCCCGAAGTGTTAACAGGTTTATTTGTGATGCTGGGTCTGTCAGTCTTAGGATGTTTGTTTACTGGCGAAACTTACCTGTGGCTGTGTTTGGTCCTGGTAAACTTGGGGATGATTGGCCTGGGGCTGAGCACTAGTTCTACTCAGTCTGTTGAGGTCTGTAAAACTTTATTCATCCGTTCTGTTACCATTACATTGTTCCTTTTCACATAGTTCACATTTCTCATCTCCTTCTGGTGAAAGCTAGTTGAGTTAGTTTCAACAGCTCTTACTTTTTGACATGAAGTTGAGACTATAAATTTTCCTATGAGTCCCTCCCCCTTTTAGCCTTATAACACAATTTTTTCTTATGAATACAGTCTCACATTAATAAGTAAATCAGAAACAATATATGCCTTGTCTTTACATGTTCTTTGCCTCCCTCCCAGGTTCCTGCTCATTTTTCTTTATGTTTTGGTAATTTGCTTTGTTCTGTGAAGTATTTATTCACATCCTTTGTCTAGTTTTCTATTATTTAATGTTTTGTGTTCATTTTAATTGCCCTTTCTACACCATACATAGTATCTTTTTCTTCTCCTTTTTAATTTTTTCAACATGTTTTCTACTTTTTCATTAATATAATGGCTCTTACCCTAAAGCAGTTTTGTAGCCCAGCCCCATTGGTGTTGCCAGATTCTAGAGTCAGTCTTAGTGATTCTTTGCTCCCAAGTTATAAAAGCAGCTGCTCAAAAGTGCTGTGGTGTGGGAGCTCCCTCCTCTTGCACGGTGTAGACTGAGAGCGTGTTTTCATCCTTATCCATGTGACTAACAAGATGGTTCAGCTTCCTTCTCCCAAGAGTCTAGACAATACTTTGCCAAGAAAAACAGACCTCAGTTTCCAGTTCTCCATTATAGTTCATGAGAGGCCGATCTAGTCCTGGTGCCTCCTGTGCTGTCGTGACACATGGCCTAATGGCATTATCTGCCACCTGTAAGGCCAACCCTTTCTGATACTCTTTCCATAGTTGATAAAAGTAAGAACTTTAAGATTAATTTATCCATTTCAATGATCCTAACTGGAATTTCATTTGACGTTTCTTTGGAAAGAAATAAACTCTTTAACAGATTTTCTTTGAATTTTAGTATAATTCCTCATTGCATATCATATACTTGCTATTAAATTTACAGCATTATGATGGGCTCTGCTGTTATAATTGTTATGAAAAGAATTTTATGAGTACTGTTTTTAAAGGAAAAAAAGAAACAATGAAAAAACAACTTTTTCTTTACTCATGGGTTGAAGCTAACTTTTCCAGAAATGGCAGTGACTTAATGGAATTGTGGGATGTTCTAGGCAACTTACATATCATTAAACAGAAGATAGAATTTCATCACATTTTAATCTTACTTCCTCTTTTAGTGGTTTTGCCAATTTGGCCTACCTGAGTTATTAAAATGTCTGAGGCAATACTGAGTAATAATGAAAGTATCTCCACTCAGCTCTAAATTGTAAGAAACGCTTTTGTTTTCACTTTCAAGATGTTATTTGCTGTTTCCCCACTGTAAAGTTATTTAACTACATTCTGTTTTACTTTTATCTAATCAGGAATTTCACTGTTGCATTTTTAAGTACTCATTGACATTAAATTTTCATCCTTTAATTTTTTTTGAGACAAAAATCAAACCAACAAACCTGTATTGGTTATTTTTGTAACACACCTGGCAGAAACAATGTGAAGAAAGGTTCACTCCGTTCACAGTTTCAGTGGGATTTCATGTTAGGAAATGCAGAGAACAGCCCCAGCTGTGTGGCCTGAGGGTGAGGTGGCTGCTTGCTCACATAGCAGGGACAGGAAACAGCAAAACCAGACAGAATTTGCAGTGGATAGAATCATCAACATCTTGCCCCCAGTGATCTACTTCTGCCAGCCGGGCCCCATCTCTCATATACTCCACAGCCTTCAAAATATCCCCAGAACCTGTGGACCAAAGGATCCAGAACATTAACCTATGGTGGGAATGTCAGATTCAAACCATGACAGTCTCCTTATATAGCTCAGACTAGAAGTTGTGACCCTCCTGCCCCAGCCTCTTTGTTCTGGGATTAAAAGTGAGCCCATCACACCAGCTTTCCTTTAATTTGTTATCCTGGCTAACAGAATTCTGTTCTCTAACACTGAGTCATTCTTGGAATAAATCTTACTTGACCGCAGTGTATTGCTCCTTGACTCACAACACTTTGTGATTTTTATTATGCTATTGGCGGGGAGGTGATCTGCATGTGCCGCCTTTGTAGTCTTGCTTTTCTGGATGTGTCAGATAAAATGGCTCTGTTCTCTACTCTCTTCTGACTCTCATATTCCAGGTCTAAGCAGGACTGGAATCAACTGTCCTTTAGAGAATTGATAGACGTTACCTGAAAAATGCCATTGTACCTTGTGACTCTATCAGAGTGGAGCTTCTGGTCACTATACCAATCTCTTCTGTGGTGATCATGATTGTCCATTTCAGTTTTCCTTTTCTTCTTGGCACAGACTTGGCTATTTCTATTTTTTCATTTGCTATTGATTTTCATGTATGCTATCATGAAATTAGAAAGAGTAGTAGTTTTTTTAATTCTTGTTTCCCAACTCTGTTCTTATTCCAAACTATATGTCACTTTATGCCCTTTCTGTATTCCCCCGAGTTTCTGAAGTCTTAAGTGTTTCCTTCCTTTCTACCATATTTTTCCCAACATTTAATTAATTTTAACTTTGATATTTGTCAATTTACTTTCCATATTTACTTTTGCTTCATTTCTTTGTTCTTTATGTTCCTTTTGTTATTGTTTGGTTTTTTGAGACAAGGTCCAGCTGGAACTCACTAGGTAGACCAGGTTGACCTTGATCTCACAGATATGCCTGTCTCTGCCTCCAGAGTGCTGGGATTAAAGACATGCACCACTGCATCTGTCTTGTTCTAAGATAACTACTTAGCTCTTTTGTAGTTATTTTAGTGAAAACCACTTAAAGATCTGGTTTGTTTGTTCTGTGTGGAGATTGCTATTCTGTTGGGATTTGATTTTCCATCTGAAAAGATTTTAATTTCTTATTTAATTAGTTCTTGAACCATTGATAATCTGGAAGTTCCATCACTTTTCATTATTTATAATTTTATTACTGTTTATGTTCTTAAGATTCATTCCTGTTTCTTACCAACTCTTGGGTGGCTAGGTGTATGTCATCGAAGAGTTCATCTGTGTGACTAGAGAGTGCTTTCTGTGAGGGCATACTCTATGTGATATGAAGGCATACTATGTGATCTGGGGGCATACTCAGTATGATATGAGCGTATACCGTGTGATCTGAAGGGTGCGCTCTGACGTGTGCACTGATCTGGTCTCTAGGCTTCTTGCACATCCTGATTCATTTTAGCTGTTAACGTTTCCTGTCTCCCTGGTGGCCACTTGCCGTCTTTGAACTCCAGCCCCATTGTGGCCATCCTTCAGAGGTTCCCAGTGGAAATTCTTTGGTGCAGATCTGCCTTGCCTCCTCATCACCAGGACAAACTCCATCTTCCAGGTCTGCTTTCTTCACTGTTTAGGGTTTATAGAGTCCAAAGAATCCCAGAACTCTCCTATACCAGATACAGCCTGGCCAGGTGGGACTGCCTGTCCTTTGTTTTCCGGCGTGATGCCATCTGGTTGCCCATGTAGGCAGGGGATGAGGGGAGTCTAAACTAATTTTTAACACTCTTGAGAAGAGTCTTGATAAGAATCTCCTCCTACTGGAGACTGCAGCAGCCTCTATTATCATGTGACTTCAGCCCAGGACTCTGCCCTCTCTGCCATAGGCATATACACTACAGAACAGGGCTCAAGATGCTGCAGCTTCCAGGAGGTAGGCCAGCCCTGGTGTAGGGCAGTTCTTGCCACCCTCACAAGAAAAATATGCCTGCCCGGGACATGCACTTTGGGTAGCTCCCAGAGCTGGTTCACAACCTGCATCTGGCCTAGCACAGCAGGTGTTGGATCTCCATGCTAGAGGCAGGAAACTGAGTGGATCCAGTCAGATTTAGAGCCCTCCTCAGTGGTGCTCCCCCTGTCACTCAGTGACTGTTCATATCACAAGGGAGGAGAGTTGGGTTCCATCCAGAGTCAGAAAATGGGCCATGGAAGCTGGGATTCCATGGGGCTTGCTTCAGGCCTGAGACAGTCGGGGCTTGAATGGTCCCAAAGATTCAGAGCTGCCCCGGGAGGTGCTGACAGGTGCCTAGAATTGGGGATTTTATCTGACAAACTTTGCCTCTCTCTCTCTCCTGGGTGAGTGCTGGCTGGACAGATCCCCACAGACGCAGGCCTGGATGGGTTGGAAAATTTCAGTGTGCTGGGCCGCCATCCCTGTAGCAATGCCTTAGATAGGTCCCAAGAACCCAAGGTGATGTAGAGCTTCCCTCTACCGCAGCTTCCTGGGAACTCCTCGAGGACCACGTGCCTGCCCTTCTACCGCTCCTCTGCTGCCTGTGGCACCGGGGACCACAGCGCGCTCTTCGGTAACCTGTCTGTGGCCAATCCACGGCAGCAGATGAACAGCTTGACCTCCTTTCTGGATGCATCCACGGTGTACGGCAGCTCCCCCGCTTCTGAGAAGATGCTGCGCAACTGGAGCAGCGCGGAGGGGCAGCTCCGAGTCAACACGCAGCACCGCGATGCCGACCGCGCCTACCTGCCCTTCATGCCTCTGCGCGCGACCACCTCCTGCGCGCCGGATCCCCGCACCACGATGGCCCACAGCACCCCCTGCTTCCTGGCTGGCGATGGCCGCGCCAGCGAGGTCCCCTCCCTGGCCGCCGTGCACACGCTGTGGCTGCGTGAGCACAACCGTCTGGCCGCAGCGTTCAAGGCCCTCAACGCGCACTGGAGCGCAGACACCGCTTACCAAGAGGCTCGTAAGGTGGTGGGCGCCTTACACCAGGTGCGCGCCTCAGCCCGGAGCAGTGTGCAGGGGACAAGGACATGTGGGTGCCCGAGGGTGTGTCCGCGAGGCCAGCATGGGTGCCCCCGGGTTGTGTTGGGTAAAGTCACTATGAGCTTCCCAATAACTTCCAGCTGGGTGACCATACCTCGCCAATGGCGTCTGGCAGGGACAACCATGCTCTCCCCCAATGACTTCCATCACTCTGGGCTACTCAAGTGGGGACCTCCCAGGTACAGTATCACTGAGGGTACCCCTAGTGGGTGTGAGCAGAGTGCCTATTGTGCCACAGGTCTCCTCCATGGTTCCTTTGTCCCGGTTCTGCATCCCCCAGAGTGGCCACTGGGCCACAGACCAAATGCAGTCCCAACTGTGCCCAGCAGTAAAAGTTTCCTTCACTGGCTGCTGCCTGGTGCCTGCAACCTGTATAGTGCATCACAGGATAAAACTGCCACGTGAAGTGCGTGCACTGCAGGATTCTGACATCTTTGTGCTTTGGAAATAATGGAGAACCTGGTCATTCTGTCTAGTTAAACTAAGAGTCAGTTTTAAGCCTTCATTTTATTTATGAAGATTCTTTTTAATACTGAATCAGAGGCTCTTGGAGATTCCAGGTGTCTCAGATCCAGATTCCAGAGGAATCCCCTGTGTAAAGTTGCAGGGGAAAATTTAAAAAAAAAATGCAACACTGACTCCACAGTCCCCCTGGGTGGTTAAAGAGTGAGCTGTTTAAGTACTTACTCTCCTCAGGTGTCAGCTTCCCCAGGTCCTGTGGTGGACACCTGGCATCATCTCTATGCCCTCATAGAGACCTCAATCCTGCCTATCAGATAAGGAAATGGACCTTGTCCTCCTGTACACAGCTGTGCAGCTGCAAGAGGCAGCCCCAAAGAGCACCTGCCCAACCTAGCTCAGGCAACTGAGGACCAGACCCCAGGGTCCTGAAATCCCTGAATGAAGCATCAGCCTTTGAGTTGCTGGGATGGGGGATCTGAGCATCCATAGGACAGAACAGGCAGCAGTAAGGACTTGATGCTTTTTATCAGTCAGTCCACAAGTGTATAAACACTTCAGGGTCTGTGTGCACATTGAGGGGATGACAGCACTGGTTAAGGAGTTATGTGTATATCTGTGTACACTGTGTGTAGTGTATGTGTGCTTTGTGCATCTCGGTGTGTCTGTGTGGGTGAATTGTGCTATATGTCTGTGCTGTGTGTGTTAATGAATTGTATTTGTGTGTGTGTGTATGCATATCCATATGTCTGTGTGTGTCTGTGATACTGGGTTGGATAAGAAAGTAGGAAGGAGATACGCAAAGGTCTAAAATTGAGGTTTACCATAAACACCGAGTGCAAAGTGCATCACTAGGTAGCTATCACCTTGCTTGGCAGGCATTTGTTAACAGATTATTGCCATGGATAAATAGTAATCACATCAGCATCTGTGAGAGCAGAACTGCAGCAGGATTGTATAGTAGCTTACGACATGACCAGTAATCCTGCAGTCCTGTCATTGTCAAGCAGCTGGCCAGACACTATGTGACTTCCTTGTGTGAAGTGGGATGTCAGTTCACCAGCAGAGGAGCAATGTCAACAGGAGGCTGGCTCCATGCTCCACAAGGCAGGCTACTTTCCCCTGTGCCAGGAAGTAAATTCCTGATGGTTCTTATTCCCTGATCTTGATCTCCAGGGTTGGCCAATGGTGGATTTCAGTTTGTTTTGTTACCCCTTCCCTGAACATAAACTCCACAGGGACAGGGACTTAGTTCTGGTTGTTTCATTCTTTTAGAACATACCACATAAAGTAGGTACCTCATGTCTATGTACTGAGTTTCTACAGAGGTAGAAGTCTCAGGAATAATCCAAAAAGCCCCACTGCCTGCTGCCTCCTCCAGAGCTGGTTAGCCCACACTCTAAGTGGTGGCCAGTCAGTCAGGAAAGGTCCAAAGGGCAGTGGTGTACAAATCTAGAACTGAACATTCACATGTCCAGGAAGGTATGTCCATCCTCGTATCTCTGAACAGGATACCGACTTGACTCTACAGTGTACAAGCCAGCCTGATCAGCAGGAGTTTTCTCCTTCCATTCTGGCTGGTTGGAAACAGTGCAATGACCCAGGACCCTGATTCTCAGTGTCTCTCCTTTGTGAAGTTCTGTGTTATCGAGGGTATGTTATTTGATGTTTCCCTGTATAAGGCCCTGTAATTGTAGACTAGAGGGTTTAACTCTGCATATCTAAGGATCTCAGCTGACCTGAACATGTGTTCAGTAGCCTATTCTCAGTAATAAGGGCCACAATAGACTGGACAGGTGCTCTTGAATTTCTATACTACCTTCCTCAACTTGGTGTCTCTTCTCTACTTGTATTTTATTAAACATACCTGTGGGTTGTGCCCTCACCTGATGGGCATGTCCCTTTCCATTATCTGTTCTTGCACCTGTGGGCTGTGCCCTCACCTGGAGGGCATGTTCCTTCCTGTACCTCTGATTGCAGCACAGACTGTGTCCTTGCCTGGTGGACTTTTCCCCTCCTGTACCTGTGCCTGAAGCTGTGGGCTGTGTCCCTACATGACAGGCCTGCCTGTCCTGCAATGCTCTGCCACAGGGATGTTCAGGAAAACTTCCTCCCTACTGCTATGGGCTCTAACCTTCAGTTGGCCAACAGGCAGCCCTGGCCTTTGCTCAGAGTTCACCTGTCTCCCTCTCTGCAGATCATCACCATGCGGGATTACATCCCTAGGATCCTGGGTCCCGAAGCCTTCAGGCAGTACGTGGGCCCCTATGAAGGCTATGACCCCACTGTGAACCCCACTGTGTCCAACATCTTCTCCACGGCTGCCTTCCGCTTTGGCCATGCCACTGTCCACCCTCTGGTAAGACGGCTGGACACTAACTTCCAGGACCACACAGGCTTCCCCAGGCTGCAACTGCATGATGTTTTCTTCAGGCCTTGGAGGCTCATCCAGGAAGGTATGTCCATCTTCGTCACTCTGGACAGGATACCGACTTGATCCTACAGCGTACACGCCAGCCTGATTAGCAGGAGCCTTCTCCTTCCATGCTGATTGGTTAGGCTGATGCCATCTAATTTATCAGCATTTAGGAGGAACTAAATGTGTACAAAGTCTTTTTCATGTGTGTATATGTGTGCTGTGTGTATGTGTTCTTGTGGCAGGGTGGAGTGCACACGTGTGTGTGAATCGAGCCTAGAGGACAACAGATATCATCCTCAGGAAAGCTATCCATCTCCTTTCAGATAGGGGGTCTCATTGACTAGGAGCTCACAATTTAAGCTAGACTGGATGTCCAGGGAGCCCTGGAATCATCCTGTTGTTGCCTCCGCAGTGCCAGAATTACAAATAGACATCATTTTAACCTTCATTTTTTTTCATCTGGGTTCTGGGGATCAAACTCAAATTAAATTGCAATCAATTTACTGACTGAGCCACCCTTGCTATGTAGTATTCAAAGCTGTTTAAAACTGTTCATGAGAAATGCCTGGGCTCCTATCTGAAGCTCTTCATTGCTCAGGGTAAATTATCAGGTGTAGGGAGCTCTCCTTGTACTGGCAGACCAAGAAGCTGGTACCCTCATGATCCTGCCTTGTGAATGGCACTGTCATTCCTTCATCAGCACGCACCTTACCTGCTCTCTGGTGAGAACAGCACCATGAGATGTAGGATGCTGGCATTTCCTAGAAAACATTTTAGTTCTCTGGTTCTGCCCTGCATGGTCATTTTCATGCTTCCCTACCTTTTTCTTTCCTCCAGGTTCTTCTTGTCCATCTGGTAGTTTCTGGGCTATCTCAAAAATAGGTACAGGTGGAGGTAGAAACAATGGCAGCTGAAAGTATGCTCCCTCACCCCGATGAACAAACTGCTTTTATACGGATCATTAAGAGAACAGTTTGGGGGTCTCCTCAGGTCACCACACAGAGGTCAAAGCACATTGTGAGTGCCATTTGCCTTTGAGGGGACACCTAAGCAAATGGCCCCTTAGTGAACTCTGGGAACTGGCTGGTCTGCTTTCATTAAGGGCTTCTGTGAGGATGACCCAGGCCTTAGCAAGTGATTGAGCAAGGTCCATGGGATCAAACAGCTCACCAGATCAAGCCACGTGTTAATGTTCCAGATACTAGAGACCAGGAAACGCTTCCTTAGACTCTAAAGTTTCTGCTGCTTTAGCAGAAAAATGCTAAATTCAATAATGAGGCCCCATCCATATTGAGTCCCTATGGTGCTGAAGGTTTGCCCTGTACACGTGGTATGGCCAGCCTGAGCACCAGCTCTGTGGGAAATCCACCACCAAGGATGGTGTCCTAGGGAACCTGGAAAACTTTGGAATTGCATAAGATGATTTGTGAAGCTGCACAGGTGTTTGCTAAGAATAATCATATTTTGTAACTGAGAATCCATCCCTTGTCACCAGAAATCAGCAGGGGCCTCTTTGACGTCCATGTGATGTTTTCCAGGTGGTTTGGATCCAATAGTCAGAGGACTTCTGGCAAGACCAGCCAAACTGCAGGTTCAGGAGCAGCTGATGAATGAGGAGCTGACCGAGAAGCTCTTTGTGTTGTCCAGTGCAGGCACCTTGGATCTGGCCTCACTAAACCTACAGCGGGGCCGGGACCATGGCCTGCCAGGTCTGTTGGGTCACCTCAGTGTGTGCTGAAAGACTAGCTCGGTTAGCATCTGATACAAAGTGAAATCCGCCCACAAATCTGTTGCATTGCCAGCTTCTAAGCAGTGGGTTGTTTGAATGAGGTTTTGCTATGTAGCCCCGATCTGCTTCAAACTCATGATCCTTGTTCTTTGAGCCTCTCAAGCAGCTAGGATTGCAGGTGTATACCACCAGTCCCACATCTAACAATGGACTTTTAACTCTGACTCATTCACTCAAGAGGTTTCTTCTAGCTTTTCTCAGGAAGTAGAAAGCCCCTCAAAGGACACTGGGTCTCCCAGACAGGTGAAACTGGAGTGATGGATACAGCTTTGGTAGGACATCCACAGGCAGATTTTGGAGACCAGTGCCTGATTTTCAAGGAAGCTGCAAGTGTTAGACTCTGCTGCCTCTCTCTTCTCCTAGTCCCAGAACAACAGAGAGTACCCTGCCTTCAGAGCTGCCCCTAACTAGTCCATTTGACCTGGCTTAGTGTGAAGCTGACTGCCCTTTTCAGGCCAGGCAACACCCTGGGCTGCCTTCTCACCTGTCTCCTGTCTTCCCTACCCCTGGCCTCAGGCTCCTCCCCACCCCCTGCAGTCCCTGTCACCTCCACCCTCTGAGGCCATCCTTGGTCATCTAGCCCACTATTGCATTACTGTCCTGGGTTCCTGTGTAGTACAGCTGTCTGATCAACGTGTAGGACCTGCCCAAGATCCATTCCCTGATCCCACACCTGAGGGGTAGACTGACTCCCCATGTGCTCTGTAAGTTCCATGAGAATATTTATCTCTTCCTGTGATTTGTGTTTGGGAGGTCTTTCCTGGTATGTTTGGGATGCTTGTATGCCCCCAGAGGCAAGTCCCACTCTGCCAGGGACATCCAACTGTAGAGCTACAGAGCCTCTCCTGGGAGGCTACATGGAGCCCTCACCACCTAAGTCTATGGGATAGCAAGATTCTCAGGAACTGCTGCATTGGTGCTGTATTACTTACTTTTCTGTGGCTGTGATAAAACACCATGACCGACTTATAGAAGGGAGAGTTTATTTGGGCTTACAGTTCCAGAGAGATAAGAGTCCATCATGGCCGTGAGGCCAAGCAGCCTCACACAGAGGTGACTGCAGCAGAAAGCTGAGTGTTCACATCTTCAAGCATGCATCCCAGGAGGCAGAGTGAGGGCAAACTGGAAGAGGGGTGAGACTATGAATTCTCAAAGCCCACCCCCAGTGACTGCTTCTTCCAGCAAGGCCAGCAACTCCTGAACCTTCACAAGCAGCACTACCAACTGGAGCCAAGTATTCACATACCTGAGCCTCTGGGGAGCTTTTCTCATTCAAACCACTCAGGTGACTTATCAAACCCAGTGGTTCATTCACAGGGTCAGTGGCCAGTATCCTCTGCCTTGTGTCCATGCAGCAGAAATGGCCCAAGGTGCCATAACCTTCGTTGCTCTTCTCGAGGTCTGACTTCACATCTTCAAGCATGCATCCCAGGAGGCAGAGTGAGGGCAAACTGGAAGAGGGGTGAGACTATGAATTCTCAAAGCCCACCCCCAGTGACTGCTTCTTCCAGCAAGGCCAGCAACTCCTGAACCTTCACAAGCAGCACTACCAACTGGAGCCAAGTATTCACATACCTGAACCTCTGGGGAGCATTTCTCATTCAAACCACTCAGGTGACTTATCAAACCCAGTGGTTCACTCACAGGGTCAGTGGCCAGTATCCTCTGCCTTGTGTCCATGCAGCAGAAATGGCCCAAGGTGCCATAACCTTCGTTGCTCTTCTCGAGGTCTGACTGCAGACTGCAGTTGGTGCCATCTGCCTTCTGTCCCGTTCCTTCCTCAACATAGCCTCAGAAAGGGCTGTAGCAACTCTTATTTGGAGAGCAAGTATGTATTCGGAGGATGCAGAAAGAGTGCCTTCAGCGTGTGTCAGAAGACCCCATGCCTTCTGTTTATGCCCTGAATCCAGGTGCATCTGCTCCTCTGCACTACAGAAGCACGTGTCTGCCACTTATGGCAGCTGAGAAATCCCTCTCAATTTCACTTACTCTTTGTGTTTCAATTACCTTAAAGTAAATATTTGATGAATAACTGTGGTCAGCAGTGGGAAAATGTTTTATATAGATTAAATTCAGTGATTTGATGTCTGTTACTGGATTATGGAAAATTTGAGGGTTTGGCCTGAGGCAGACTATGATGAAGGTAAAATGCTGTAGAGGTGTCGGAACAGGATAGGAAAGAAAGAGGCTGCCATCTTGAGATGACAACTCTTGAGAGATAGGGTTGAGGTGACCCAGCTGGAACCAGAGAACTAGAGAGCACATCCTAATGAGCCGCCAGTCAACAATGATGAAGGTAAAATGCTGTAGAGGTGTCGGAACAGGATAGGAAAGAAAGAGGCTGCCATCTTGAGATGACAACTCTTGAGAGATAGGATTGAGGTGACCCAGCTGGAACCAGACCTAGAGAGCACATCCTAATGAGCCGCCAGTCAACCGGCACACACACACACACACACACACAGCTACATCAAACGCACATACATTAAACACACACCTATTTCAAACACACATACCTGCCCCTCATGAATCAGAATTGAAAGAGCTGTATGTTCAAGGATTAACATAATACTGCCTGATAGCAGTTTTCACAAACAGCAGATTTTAAATCTCTGATGATTTTCCCTCAGTTTGTCTCTTCTGTCCTATAACCTGTTGCCTTTGTGTCAGTCCCTGTAACTGGAAGCTCCCCAACCCCATCCCCTGGCTCAGCATTCCCTCCAAGACTACACAGAAGATACATGATCATTTCTTCAGATTCCACTTCATCCACACATGGGGTTCACTGTGACTCCCCAAAGTTTCCATCCCATAAATGCATCAACACTCTTAGGGAGACCTGGCCCCGTTCTCAGTGTATTTCTGTGTATAGATTTATGTAGCACTTGCTGAGTGACTAGGGCATGGAAGGCATTGGAAATAAGATCAGGCAGATTTAGTTACAGGAACGCAGATGGCAGAAGGGATGAGCAAAGGGAGCAGCAAGGGTCTGTGCAGCCTACTCTGAGCACCTCAGCTTGCAAAGTACCGCAGAGATTGTGATTTGGCAGTTCCCATCAGGGTCAGGAGGAAAGGAGGCTTCTGGGAAAGGCCCAGATGAAGAGGATAAGACTGAAGGCAAGGGCATGTAGAGAAGGCATCAGAAGAGCAAATCGTGTGTCCAGTAAAGGCAGCAGCTCAGCAAAGAGCATGGCGTGCAGGGCTGGGGAAGGAGCAGCCCAGATTACTTGACCAGTTGGAGGAGGGAAGACAGTGAGAGATGCTGGGGGCCGCAAGGCCAGGGCAGGGCTTGGCCAGCCATGCTGAGATTACCCTCAGGTGTGTGGGGGTGTAATCTTCTTCAGTGCTAGATACAGACAAGGGAAGATATGTATATGCATATATGCAGTCCTGTGTGTGTGTGTGTGTGTGTGTGTGTGTGTGTGTGAGAGAGAGAGAGAGAGAGAGAGAGAGAGAGAGAGAAGGAACACGCACTGGGGTCCTCTTGTTCTCTGTGGGCTCCCAGTGTCATTATGGCGCATCAAGGACTCTGAATAGAGTGAGGACCTGTCCTGTAGCTCTGTAGGGAAGATCTGAGCAGGTAATAACATGAATCCACTGAGATGTCTTAACTTGGCACCCTTTCCCTACATCCACAAATGCATTCTTCATAAGAGCCCCGAGTCTATACTGGATGGTCTGTCCTATTGAACTCTGCAGGACTTAGTGCCATGTAGTCCCTCTGCAGCAGAGAAGGGCAGGCAGGGTTCCATATTTCCCTACATCCACAAATGCATTCTTCATAAGAGCCCCGAGTCTATACTGAATGGTCTGTCCTATTGAACTCTGCAGGACTTAGTGCCATGTACAGGCAGGGTTCCACATGGCTGAAATCCTGGTTTCCAGGGGTCAGGAGCACCCTTGGGTAGACTAATGAAACTCAAGTCCCTAGGAAGACAGCCCCTCTTCCTTGTACAGGCTACAATGAATGGAGAGAATTCTGTGGCTTATCACGCCTGGAGACCCTGGCTGAGCTGAGCAGGGCCATCACCAACAAAAGCATGGTCAACAAGATCATGGACTTATACAAGCATCCAGACAACATCGACGTCTGGCTCGGCGGCCTGGTTGAAAACTTCCTGCCGAGGGCTCGCACTGGTGCCCTGTTCGCATGCATCATTGGGAAGCAGATGAAGGCCCTGAGGGATGGGGACAGGTAAGTGCCTGTTGAGACCCGTCTGTATTCTATGCAGAGAACAATGCTCCATGCCAGGCTTGTATGAAACAGCCAGATCTGGGCTCCAGTGTTTATATGACCCTGCGTGGATTTTCTCTCAACCTTAGCATCCTCCACAATAAAATGAGGTGTCACCAAACTAAAGGAACACAAGGCATAAGGCACATTCTGATCACTTAGAAATATGACTGCTGTTTTCCCATATATCTTTCATACTGATGAGCAGGCATCTAACAAATCTCAAATTGTATTTTCTTGACAACCTAAAATGGCTTCCATCTCTGGCCATTCTCTGACACTGCTGAAACTGGTCAGATTGGCCTATCCTGGTGCTAAGATGTAGACCCTACTGATGCCCAGGAGCAGTTGACAGGTGAACAGACCCACCCCCACCTTCCCACCGTGCCTCTACCATCAGCCTCACAAAGCTGGCCGAGGCTCCTGCCTGCCCTTGTACCTACTTCCTCCTGCATTTCAGCCTCAATTTTGAATGTGCACCTGGAGGGGATCAGAAAAACAGGTCTGCCTGCCCTTGTACCTACTTCCTCCTGCATTTCAGCCTCAATTTTGAATGATGTGCACCTGGAGGGGATCAGAAAAACAGGGAGCTTGTCTGTGAGCCTCATGGTCTTACCCCAGATAGTGAACTGCAGATGGACAGCTTGGGCACATTAGAACTTAGGAACCATGCAGAAAAAAGAGCCAAGAAATGTTTCCTTTGTCCTTTTTAGTAGTCTCCACATACTAGATGTTCTCTCTCTCGCTCTTCTGTCTCTCTCTCTCCATAAGATTTATTTCCAAGCCAACCTGAGCTCTTTCAGTCACAGCCTTAGAATCCTTTCTTTCCCGTTGTTAGAAATTTTACCATTGATTTCTGGCACAGCCAGAAGACCTCCCAGGTGATTTTGTCTCCTTCAAATCTGTATCTTTTAAAAGATTGTGTGGATTGAAATACTCTAGGACATGGGAAGCCATAAACATGGAAGGCAGCTCATTTCCTGGACTCCAGTGACTATGACATGACCTGGGTTCAAGGGCAAAGGCCCAGCCTCTTCTGGCAGGTGCTGGAGGGATGCTGTTATTTAGTACCCTGGTGTCTATGACTAAATGTCTCAAAAATGCAGAAATCTGAGCAACCAATTGATATAGAGAAGACTCCATCTCACAGTCTCCAAATGTATCTATGGTCCCTTCAGAGAAAGCCTCAGCTCCTTCTCACATTCTGAGGGGATGTGTTCCCTAGTAGGTATGGAGAGAGCCTATGTATGAGCTTTGTGGCCCTCAAGTCAGAAGCTTTGTCCATGATATTGATATCCTGAAAGGAAGTGAGACTTGGTTTTCTCTCTCTGTTCACCTTGGGCTAGAGGTGGGGACAAAGCAACACCTGGACCTCTCTGAGTGGTTGGCAGTACCTTCTGTGGCTGACTTGGCTGTTGGCACTCTTGTGTCTGAAGCAGTAGTGCACCCACAGACTCAGAGCAGCAAGACAATGTGTCATGCCTCTACCAACCTGCCATCTCGCACTGTCCTACAGATGGCCAGTCCCCACAGCCAGGCTCATACCCTCCTCTTCTTTCTCTGGTGTCTGCAGTACCTGGTTCTCACAGGCCCCAGGTGATGTGGTCACCCTCTGACAGGCTTCTCCAGTGGCCCACTCCCACTCATGTGTCCTGTCCTGTGCAGGTTTTGGTGGGAGCACAGTCATGTCTTCACAGACGCTCAAAGGCGGGAGCTGGGAAAGCATTCACTATCTCGGGTCATCTGTGACAACACCGGCCTCACCAGGGTACCTGTGGACGCCTTCCTTGTTGGGACATTCCCCCAAGACTTTGAGCCCTGTGAGGATATCCCTAGCATGGACCTCGAAGTGTGGAGGGAAGCCTTTCCACAAGGTGACTCCAAGATGATTTTTATTTTATCATGACGCTAAAGTCAGAGTAAAACTTTACCAAGAAGCTGATTTTAAATCCATGCCATTGAGGACATGTCACCAGTGCGGAGTCTTGTCTCCCACTGTGGTGTGGTAGCACCCCAGTGACAGATAAGAATCTGGTCAGAGGTCTGGCAAAAGTTGACAGACATGGATGGCCCTGTCCAGGTCCACACATTGCCTTGTGTTGCTGAGTAAGTGCCCAGTAAACTGCTGGGCCTCAGCACTGGCAACCCCAGACCCTCCTTTTTCTATTGTGGAATCTGTGCTGGTGAGATTCCACCAGCACTGTGGAGCTATGGCACCACAAATGCTCACTCACTCTGGCTGCGAAGCAGCAGGTGATCTCCATTTAAGAGCAAATAGTGATTGACAGCTGGTTACATTAAAAAAACAAACAAAAAAAAAGATGTAAGACTGAACAGGAATGATGGTTACTTGAATAAGTAAAGCAAGTATTCTCATCTCGGTTTTGATTCTATACAGGCTCAGGGCACAGACTAAAATTATATTATCAATTATCAATTTCCACCCTCACAAAAGTTTTATTATATTTTTGTATATGTATGTGTATGTGGTATTCATGTTGTATATATACGTGTTTAGGTGCATGTGAATTTGTGTGACATGCATATAGAAGCATGAGTTTGATGTTGTTGAGTATCTGCTGTGATTGATCTCCACCCTATATATTGAGGCAGGGTCTCTACACGGAACCTGGAACTTGTTGTTCAGGGTGGTTCAGCTAGTCAACTTGCTCCAGGAATTCCATCTCTGCCTCCCATGTGCTAGGATTGCTGGCAGACTGTCATGCCCATTCAGCTCTTACATGGGTTCTGAGCATCCAAACCCTGCTCCTCACACTTACAAAGCAAGCACTTTACCCACTGAGGCATCTCCCTGGCCAAACAATACTCTTCTTTTATTAATTATGACATAAGCTCTGTGTCACACAGAACCTGGCTTCAAGCAGGAGCTAAAGAATTAGCTATACTTCTTCAGTGCCCTGGGACCCATTTGCCAAAAGAAACACATGCACGGACGCATACATACACACACATACAGAGAGAGGGAGAGAGAGAGAGAAAGAGAGAGAGAGAGAGAGAGGAGAGAGAGACAAAGGACAGAGAAAGAGACAGAGAGACCTGTTTACTACTTCCAACCTATCCTAGACAGGGAAATAACAGCACAAATCTCCTTTCTGCAGATCCCATCTCCAGATGTAGTCACATGCAAGTACAGAGTGTTGGGGCATAAAACTGTGATTGGCTGGTCTGGAATCTTCCTTTTTTGTGGTTTCACTGCATTCTGACCTTCAACATTGCACAGATGACAAGTGTGGCTTCCCAGACAAGGTGGACAATGGGGACTTTGTATACTGCGAAGAGTCTGGGAATCGAGTACTGGTGTATTCCTGTCGCCATGGATACGAGCTGCAAGGGCAGGAGCAGGTCACATGCACCCAGAATGGATGGGACTCCCAGCTCCCTGTCTGTAAAGGTCAGTGGTGTCACAGGGTGTGGGGAATCACAGCAATTACAAAACTACATGCACCTTTCCGGTGGAGAACACCCATTCCTTCACCAAAAGGAATGCTGTACAGGCATGCTGCTCTGGAGTGGAAGGAGAGAATCCCCTTGTGTTGGCCACACCACTGTACTGGCATCTTTACAGATGGCAAAACATGGTGGTAGTCACATCAAAGCAGGACTTGGGGTGACTTAGGAAAGAAGAAAGTGAACCAATTAGTTGTAGACAAGATTATAAAAGAACTGACAGACCCCATTCTGCAGATGAAATAACAGAGAAAAATCTCACTCTGTGAACCCAATGAAAGACCTAGCACCATCACCCTCCTTAAGCAGCTCCTTCCCAGCTGTGCTGTTGGCCTCCTCAGGCTTGGAGGAATCCCTTCCTAATCCTTCTCACAGTCAGTGACAGGAGAGCAGAGGAAGATGACCACACACTCTCAGCCTCCGCTGTAAGGACTCCCCTGGCTGCCTCCATTCACTTCCCCCTTGTGACTACCCTGGACATCACCCTCAGGGTGTTTTGGAAGCCGGGACTGTCAGGTCCAGTGCCTCTGGTGGAAGAGCGTGAATCCTAGGGTTGATCTTCAGGCTGTGGAACAGGATGAGCCTGGGCTCTCGTCCCTGACAGTGGGACTCATTGGTACACCAACTAGAATCCTCTACTTAACTCAGAATCTGCCCCCTGTAACTAGCTGTGCTTCAGGGAGCAGGAAGTAGTGAGAGGGACACCAAAAGCCTGGGAAAACATCAGGTCGGCTCCCAGCAATCACAGGAAAGACAGACCCCACAAGAAAGACAGATCCCTGCATCCCAAGTCCATCCCAGAGTAAGAATGGACTCAGAGAGAGCCTCGCATAGGTTCCTGTTGTGAGATGCATTTTGCAGAGGCTCAGAAGACAGAGATGGAGGGATGCAATATCTTGGCTGGTTTGCAAGCAGGGAGGAAAACAAAATCCAAAGTTGTGTTTGAGAGTTTGTGGAAAGATGATGGTATAATGCCACACAGCATCGGTAATGGGCCTAACGCCTCTGAGTTGTTCACTCTCCGTATCTGAGGGCAAGCTTTAGTTTACATTTCCTTTGCCACAAGGATAAACATTTCAGTTCAGCTTTGAAACCCAGAACATTTTGTTCCTGAAGGGTCACTTCTAAACCCTGAGTAGTAAAGAGCCTGAGAGCCACAACACCAAAGTCTCAGCTCTGGCCACAGCCGTCTCCTGTGTTGTGCCCACATGGCAGTCACCCCAGCTTCCCCCAGTGCAAAAATGCACACTGAGAAAGTAGGACGAGAAGGAGGAAGGAGAGCTGGCAGGACTGGTGGTAGTTGAACTTCCTAAGAATCAATGGATCCAAAGCCCACTGGGTAAGGAATAGAAGCTGTTGCCAGAAAACACCTGCCTGTGTTGGAATCCAGAATGGAAACTAACAGTCCCAAACTCTCATACTTGCACCAGTAGGTAGTGGGCTGTAACGGCCCATAGGCGGCTGGACTCCCCAGTGTAATCATGAGGGAAAGTTGGCCAGGGAACAAGATGAAGGACCTTATCATTGAGAACACCATGGGAGACCTTCTACCAGAAGTCTCGTGTGACAGGAGCACCTGTTCTGTGAAGTGGTGACACCTGTGTGCACATGTTATTTCTGTCAGCTACCACTTTAATTGCTCTGAATTATAGCATTCTTGAGCTGTGTCGGCAGTACAACAAACCTGGAAGTTTCCAAGGTGATTTGGCTTAGCACCTGCACGAAAAGGAAATGCTCACTTGCCCAGGATTGTTCATTCTCCTCACTGGCAGTGCCTCACCAGGGCATGAGCGTCAGGGTTTGGCACATAGTTTTCTGTGTCTGGCCAGCACTGGTGTGGTATTCTCTTTGCTGCGTACCTTCTTTTTCATCTAAATGCCTGGGATTCTACATATCCACTCGCACTATTTGTTTTAGGATTTATGGAAGAAAAGCTTAGCTGAGGGAAGTTCCTTGTGTCCCCAGTCTGCTTCGGCTGATGGGCCCACCACGCTGTGATTATGAGCTGACATTCGGGTTCACAGAGCTCCCCTCTACTTATCTCTTAAGTGCAGCACACCCATCTTGCTTCCTCTGGAGAGTCGTAGGAATTTAATGGAAATCCTTCTGTCCCCAGCCCTCACCCTTCAGCTGTTTTCATCCTGAATTTTCACTGCAGCAGTCCCTGGCTTCCTAAAATTATGATCCACTTGTTATAGGTACTATGGTCACCAAGAACTAAGTGGCCATTGACTTCATTTCTGAGCTGCCCAGGTGTTCCCTGGTGGTTAGAGTATCAGGAGAAGGCCCCCATATACAGCAAAGTGAGCACACAGGGTGGACTCTATGACCAGTAAGCACAGTATCGCTTATAGCTTGTTAGACCTACAGCCTCTTGGGCCCAACAGTCCTGAGGTAGAATCTGCACCTTCATAACATGAGATACTGCAAAGCTGTGCTTGTTAAAGCTGAGAGCCCACTGAAAAGTCCTGACCATGTCCTCTTTCCCCAGTGCTCAGCAACCAGGGCTGGCTATTCCAGCAGCTATTCAGCCTGTACCTTGAGGTACTCAGCCTCTGCATGCCTCTAATTCTTCAAATGCACAGTGAGGATGGTCATGACATCCAGCTCATTAGTTGTCAATTGGTTAATAAATGTACAGCATGAAGAACAAGGCCTAGTGCTGTTACAACAGGAGAGCTCAAAGCTGGTGGCTAAACGCTGGTGCTTGCACACCATTGACATACTCTGCTGAGAGACTGGAGAGATGGCTCAGGGGTTAAGAGCAGTGGCTGCTCTTCTAGAGGACCCTGATTCATTTCCCAGTACCCACATGGTGGCTAACAACCATCTGTAACTCCAATTCCAGGGAATCAAACACACTATTCTGGCCTCTGCAGGACATTGCACATGTGTGGTGCACTTACATATATGCAGGCAAAACACTCATACACATAAAATGAAAATAAATAAAATATTTTTTTCAAAAAGCAGACTACCCTGCTGAATACATTCAGGGGGATCTGCTGATGTAGTGTTAGGGTATCAGTAAGCCCCATAAGTTGAACTGGTCTAGACTATAAAAAAGGTCTAGTCTATCTGTTGGAGGACCTACTTTTCCAGTCTCACTGGTCAGTCACCTGGTGATAGAACCGCTCCCAGGAAGGCAGGATCACCTTAAGTTATGCTAAATAGATGGGCGGAATACCTGGTGTGTTAATAAGGTAACGAATATTTCTGCCTGGAGCTAGCTCAGACCCCTGCAGAACTTCCAGACCAGCCACAGTCATGTAGGTCTCCATGAGTCTGTCCACTTTCCTGAACTCTTCAGGAAAGTGTAATTTCTCCTTTTCTTCTTCATGCCTTTCTTTCTAAACATCTTTCTTTAAGGGTTTGGTTCGCCCCTGTATTTTGTGTTTCTTAACTTTTTCTCTAAAGCTTCCTTCTCCCAGCCATGTGGGTGCGAGTCAGCCACATGTCTGACCTCCATGCAGGCTCTATACCTACATGGCTTCCATGGCTTTCTTTACTTCTCACTATTCACCTCCTCAAGGCAGCTGCCAAGATTACCAGCTCACCTGCCCTGAGGATTTTTCTTTAAGATTCTAATAAAGTTGTAAAAGCTTCTTTTATGAATGAGACTAAGAACCCTCTAGGGGACCCTCTTTCTCCGTTTCAGTAGGACCTACTCGGTAAGCCACAGAACAAAAACATGAGTGACAGAGTGGTGTGTATGACGAGAATCCATTTTGATTTGGTTGGTAGCAGCTGTGCCATTCGCACATGTCACACAGATAAAGTTTTTCATGAGTTTGCGAAGAGCTTGTGCCTATAAATGCTTCTACAAAACAAGGTGAGAAGAAAGAAGAGAGAGAGACCACTGGCTTTTATAAATTTCATGTTTTCTGTCATATTTATTATTTTGAATAAGTATAACATTCTTTTGATGAGGATGACTGTGAAAGGGAGGATGAAGAAGCGGTAGACAAAAATGACAAGGCCACCAGTGTGCCGGAAAGGAATGGAATTACAAGGGTCCTCCAGTGACGCTGCTTCAGAGGACAACCAAGAACAGGAACAGATACACTTACCAGAAAGCAGCCTGACAGCATGGGAGATGTGATTTGTTGGCAAAGAAAAAGAAGAATATGAATGGCTACAACAGAACATTCTAGAGGAATTAAATCAACAACTAGAGAAAAGAAAAAACAGAAGAACATGAAAGAGGAAAGATAATTGCTGAAGAAAAGCACAAGGAATGTGTTCAGAAAAAAATGAACAGGAAAGGAAAGAAAGGGAATAAAAAATTAATAAAGAAATGGAGGGAAAAGTAGCAAAGAAACTGGAGAAAGAATGCCTGCAAGAAAAAGAAACAGCACAATATCAAGAATGGTTAAAGAAAAGATGAAGACTGAGAAGAAGAAAAAGAAAAGCAACGACAAGCAGAACTACAGGAGGAAAAGGAAATCACGAAAACACATTTAAGGGATGCTTGGAAACTGCAAAAACTAACCCTGGTCCAGCTGCAAAGAGCTGTGGTTATGCCAGTGGGAGGCTCACAGGTTTTTACAGTGGGACTTCCCATCCAGAACAGCTTTCTGTAATTCAATTCCATGGACGCCAATTCACATGCCGCCCCCCACCCCCAAGAACCTAGAAACCTATCAGGAAGGAAGAGCAAAAGACCTATAATAAGTCAGCCATACTCACCACCATCTCTAAGAATTCATAAAGCCAGAGGCAATCTTTGCCTTGGAACTCTGTGTAGAATACAGAGATAGTGTATGTAGAAAATAGCATACCTTCTTACCTGGAACCCACTAAGTTTAATCTTGGAATTTTTTTTTTACACGTCTTAATCAATAAATCGACATTTAATGTGATTATTGAAATACCAAATTTTTGAGTTTGTATATGAAATCCTTTGAGTTTAAGATAATTCTTCATTTTAGTTTTCTAAATTGTTCAAGGTTAAGCTAAAAAAATAAAAACAAAAGTAAAATACAGAAATCACAGAGGCCTATTGAAATGCTCATGGTGCAGATGTATGTACACACAGATGTCTTCACTTCATCTTATCTACATGTATCCAAAGAAGTAGTTACAGTGGAAAAGAACAGTCTTCAAAGGATGAGAGGGACTTAATACTTTCGTAGTAAATTAGAGTGAACTGGCAAATTGGTGTGAACACGTGTTCAACTGATCTCTAACCCTGCCTCTCCATGTGACTGGCAACAGAAAGGAGAGCTAGCTACAAGCTTAACTGAATATTTACCAGAGAAAATACAATGAGATTGCTCTCTTTTCTCTGTTCAAATCCCACTTACCCACTTAAATCCACTCATGTGAAACTGATAGGAAAACCCGGTCAGTGTGTGTGATGAGTCCTGTTACAGCTGTGGAGTCCGGCAGACAGAAGCTGCCAGTCCGTGAAGTTTCACGATCATTGCTGTAAAGAATACAGTAGATGAGTGCAGATAAGTGTCTCCATGTCTGCTTCAAGGAATAGATAAACATGTGTAGACACTTCCATGGTGATCTGGGGACACAGCCTGCTACTCTTCAAAAACACAAAAAATCTGGTCAGACACAGAGCACCCTGTCCTTCCATGCAGGTTACACCAGGGGCCTGGTGAAATGGTCTGCCTTGAAGTGCTTTTCTTTCTTCTTTATAGAAAGCATACATCTCCACCTGGCATGGGCTTGTAGCCCATGGCCCCAGTGTTAATCCTTTGCAAGGAAACCCAGAATGTGCATGACATTCAGATGCACTGATCCCTGGAGTGGCCCCAAATGCACTGGCCTCTGGTGTGGTACCAGAATGCCCTAGATTCATGAATGGCTTCTGAGTTGAATAAACAGATCACATAGAGTGAGGTTGACTGTTGCCCTCCAAGAAAGATATGTCTAAGCCCTGGTATCTCAAGATGTAGCCTTATTTGAAAATAGGATCTTTGACAGATGCTTTCAAGTTAAGTGGGGTCAGGTGACCCTCACCTAGGGCCCAGTGCCTCATAAGAAAAGACATTGAGGCAGAATTGCTGGGTAAGACTAAGGAAGGAAAAAATGTGTCTATAAGTCAGGAGACACCTAGAGTTGCAGCAATCCCCAGGAGTTTAGAGAGATAAAGGAAGACCCTTCCCCACAGAGAGAACATTGTGCTGCTGAAAGCGAGCCAATTTCTGTTATTAGGCCACCAACTTGTAGCGATTCCTCATGGCAGCCGCAAGGAATGCATACACAGGAGACATCAGCATCAGAGCCCCAGGATGCAGCGAGGAAGAGGAGGAGGAGGAAGAGGAGATCGTGGTGACTGCTTCCCATCCATTACCTTCCACAAGCATAGTACCTTCAACACACTGTGGCAGAGTGAATCCACAGTAGCTGCCAGAGTCCTTACACAGTGAGGCAGGAAAGACAAGCTGGGCCCTTGTGGTCAGTGACCATAGGAGCAGACTGAGAACTCTAGGTGCTCAGGTGGAAAGGATAATGGAGGCTAGGCAGAAGCATGTGTGGAACATAGTCAGGGACACAGCTGGACCATGAGCCATAGAAGCTGGTGGGAGAGGTCTGACCACAGAGCCAGTGCTGAGATGCTCTGCAGGTGCTTTGAATCAAGAGCACAGGGAGCAAGAGGTAACCACTCAGCTGGGAAGGTGGTGACGCCATGACATTGCTGTCCTTTGGGACAATAGTGGACGTTGGTGGTAGCTGGTCTGGGAGAGAAGGGTCTGCCACATGGAGATGGGGGCATGGGCTCTTTCTTCCCCACTACTGACTGTGCACTCTTCCTGCAGATGTTGATGAGTGTGCGGATCTGACACACCCACCCTGCCACCCCTCTGCAAAGTGCAAGAACACCAAGGGCAGCTTCCAGTGTGTGTGTACAGACCCCTATGCACTAGGTGAGGATGGAAGGACCTGCATAGGTGAGTGTCCTCCTACCGTGTCCATTGGCCAGCTTCTGTAAAATAAGAAAAATCATGTGTTCAAAGTCCTCAGACATTAGTTATGTTTCTAGGGGCCTGGAGAGAGGTTTTCCCTTCCCAGGTCCACCTGAGGACCACCCTGCCTAGTAGTAAGTAGATCACCTGGGTCTCAGAGAAATGTAGGGAATGGCACCCAGACACTGAGCTTTCAGGAACGTGTCTGGATATGTTTCAGATACAAAATAGTGCTACAGAATGTGTAGAGCAGACTCGGAGGCTACTTCTTTCACTGTTGTAAATCCCAGAGAGCTGTTTCAGAAAGGAGCCTACCAAAGTAGACAGTGCGACACTGAAGTCAGCATTCTAATTCCCTGTCTCTATAGCCCCCAAACATTGCTGACCTCTTTTTACCCCACGTAAGACCATGCCAAGTGTTCAGAATGGAGCTCTTGCTGCTGTTGCCCAGCTAAAGGGTACTTGTCTACAATTACAATCCCAATACTTGGCCCAGGACCAGTCTTTAGAATTCCTGTCTGAATGCTAAACACTGAAGCCAGAAAACTATTGAGGACAGGATTTCTTCATCTGCCCATGTACTCAAGAAACAACAAGTGTCCAAGACCTATGCGAGGCAGACATAACCCTTGCAAGTATGGGGCTGAAGGTCTCAGTTGGGCCTGGGATGGATCTGCAAGTCAGTTCCAGAGTGACATAGGGCATGGAGGTGCCACAGCTTGCGTAGGGGACCTCCACCCAGCCTCAGAGAGCTGACCTGAGGATTGACCAGGGTGCACAGGTCAAGTCAGAATGGCAGGGACTGTAGCCAGGACCCTTGGGAACAGGCTAAGACACAGTAGATTGATCTGATGGAATGTAGAAAATGCCAAGTCCAGGCTGGGAAAGGTAGAGAAGCCTTGGTGAAGCAGTGCCTTGGAAAGGAGCCAGATAGGACCACACATGGGGTCCATCTGAGTACTTTGCATTTGACACTCTGCCAAATGTCACCCCCCAGGAGACAGTTGTAAGAAACACTAGTGTCCTCAGCTAGCAGGAGGGTCAGACTCAGAAAGTTGATTGAGGGTATGGGCCTGGAGAGCAATATGTTCTGGGGGATGGTGGAGAATGGATGGAAATCCAAGACAGTCACAAACTGAACCTGCAGGAAATTCCTGACCCTGTAAGCATGGGTCAGGAAGCCACCGTGGTAAGTCCAGGATGGGGAGTGGTCAGAACCCAAAGAAGGAAGCTGGGTGAAGCCAGCTCTGGCTCCCTGGGGTATGTGCACACAGCCCCAACTGCATGCTGCCCTCAGAGGCTCCACTTAATTACAGGTGCATTTGTATGAGTGTGTGAAGCTCAGTTCCCAAACATTCCTTAAGAGAATAACCACACCAAGCTGCCAGGCCTCTCCTGCTTCCTTCAAAAGATGGCCTGTGTGCTTTACTCAGAATCATCCCTGGCCAGCACTGTCCTAACCCCTTGCAGCCTCCTGTTATGCCTTGTCTTTATGGCTTTAAAGGCATTCTTTACAGTGATGGACAAGGTGTGTGATGTTTGAAAACCAGTTCCCCTCTGCTTGTGGGTTTCTAAGATTCCAGGAAACCAGTGATGAGCGCCTGACAAAGAGCCTGTAACAAGGTTGTACCCCAGGGACTTTGAGATGAGCGTTTCTGGCCATAGACTGACAGCTCCTCATGGAAGCCAAGGAATTCAGAGCTTGGCAGGAGCACAGAACCTGCCTGGTCCATCCATTGTTTTAGGATGAGGGTGGGAAGTTAGAGTGTCAGGCAGCACCTGCTCAGACTCTAGCATCAGATGCTGGAGACCCCAGGTTGAACCAATCTGCCCTCTGCCCTCTGGTCATTGCTTCCCAGTGACCCTGTTCAATTTCTGTCTATGTGCAGTGAGTTACTGAGAAATTTGCCATCTTGCCTAAGGTCCCCCACAAGCTCTAACCACACAGGACTCCAGTCTCTCCTCCTGGACCCAGGATGAATCTCAGACAACCTCTGCAAAATCCAAAATGCAGCTGAGGACAGTTTCAGAGCCATGCTGTGTTTTTCAGGGGCAGCTGCTCTGTAACCACTGCCCTGTCCTTTAGGGCTGGCTGGGGATGCTCACTGTCACCCTAGTTGGAAATGGAAGGACATCTCCATTTTTGCCCTGCAGCTCTGATGACCATTAGCGCTGAACCTCTCCCAGTTAAAGGGCCCATCCCCACTAGCATTGCCATATCCAGTTCACTCAGGGCTGGACATACTATTTAAAGGTTTCTCCTACATATGTTGTGCTGTGGGACAGTCACTGGGGTTCTATGGCCACTCTTCTGATCTATCCCCTCTCACATAGACTCTGGCAGACTCCCTCGGGCATCCTGGGTCTCCATTGCACTGGGTGCAATTCTTGTCGGTGGCTTGGCAAGTCTCACCTGGACCATGATTTGCAGGTGGTAAGTCCCTCCTTCCACCTCTTTCCTATGCAAGGAACTTCCTCACCTCTGGATGTGGCCTTACACAAAGCTGCCTTGTTATTCTGAAGGCACTCGGTATCCCAGTCCCATAGATCACTGTACAACAGATTAGACCAGGTGTGCTTTTAGTCAGTAAGGGGGGGGGGTAGGTGACCTGAGGTCAGGAGGGGGCTGGGCTTATGCAGTGGGAAGGACCCAGGCCATGCATACAGTTGATATATGACCCTAGTTTGGGCCAGCTAAGGCAGCTATTCCCCATAGACAACTATGGCAGGACCTTATAGAGTATTATGGAAACCAATCAGAATGCAGCTTGGTATCTGAGTGAGCAAGGTGAGACCCCAAAATAAAGAGAGGACAGGGTGGAAAGGAGCACACATCTACAATGTGTAGAACATCACTTAGGTGCTTCCAGGACATTGAAGCATTGTGAAAGAATCCTAGCCCACTAAGATGCTCATGAGTGTTCCATGGCCCCAAGTGCTCTAAGACTGACCATGGTGACCAGCTCAGTAACATCCAGCCTGAGTCCAGCTCAGGTTTTCTTTCTCCCTCCCTCCCTCCCTCCCTCCCTCCCTCCCTCCTTCCCCTTCCCTTTCTCCCTCACCCTCTCTCTCTCTAAAATAAAGACTTCCCTTTCACTGTTCACAGTGTCCCTCCCCAAGCACACATACAGTCACACTAACTGGCACTTGGCAGCCTATTTTAGGGCTCCAGAATCCAGAATTAAATGTAGCAGAATACCTCCCCCTTGATTTTCTTGGACAGGCATTCATTTAATTTGTGGTCACCAATCTTACAGAAAACTTCTGTTTTATGGTGAAAGGGCTAGAGGCACTGAGAATTTTTGTAACCATAAGATGATATGTAAACATAGAGAAGTTTGCAAATATAAAGTTGCATATGAACACAAAATTATAGTAGCACCAGTTTATTACATTATGATTATTTAGTAGATATAATTACAGAATCAGTCCTTAGATACCACTTAAGCTATTAACTTCAAAAGCACACTTACAACGCGGAGAACTGTGGTAACCCACAGTGACACAGGAGTGGCTGAGTCAGCATGCCATTATTACGGAATTCCCTAAGCCAGAAGTCCCGGGAGACAGGAAACCTGGCTGTGTACCTGTGTGTTCTTTTGCATCCTCTTGGTGGGGATTGTTACAGGACACAACTTCTACAGGAAAGAAAAGTATAGACAGGCTGTGATCCAATAGCATGTGGACAGAAAAAAGCAAGAGCCTCCCCCCACCCTCCCGAGTAGTGTCATTCAGCCCCTTGCATGCAAGTGAGGGTGGAGACCACAGAAAGGGTAGGCTCTGAGACACAGACAGACAGACATGGTGTTGCATGTCTGCAACAAACATGAAAAACCATTATAAAAAGTTAAAAAGTGCTGAGTCGCCAGCTTCTGTTTTACTATTTTATTTCTCCTCCTGGGCATTGCAAATTGATGAACACATTTCTTTAACAATTAACAGTCTGACAGTGAGCCAAGTCAATCTACATATTGATAGGTGCAGCTTTCACACGCTACAATGAATGGGTTTTCTAGGCACTGAGTCCCGTGTCTCCTCCTGACACTGCCAAAATCCACTGGCCACACTCTTCACTGGCCCTCTGGAGCCGTATGCTTCCAGCCAATGACCCACATGAGGTCATGGATGGAGTCATTCTCTGTGGTCTGCTGAGTGATTTCCTTGATTCAAGTCCAGAGAAGGCAGCTGCGGTTTCCATGTCTGTGTCCAGCCATTGTGGAGCAGGATGTGTTCACAGGCCCTGGCAGCGGCATCTTCTAAGCTCTGACAACAATGACTAGATGTGCACTTATCCACAGGACACGTTCTGATAGGAAATCCATGCTGTCAATTACTGAGAGAGATACAAGAGAGATGGCCCAGTCGGGGTGCAGAAAGAGTCAAGAGAAGGGGATTTCACCACACAGAGTGGCAGCTCAGGACACCAAGCAGGTGGGTCCATGCAGGTGTATGTGTCCCCAAGCCCCAGAATGGCACTAAGACTACGGGCTGTTCTTGCAGCTGTGTACAGGTGCCCTCTATGTTGCTGTTTAATCTTATAATAGAATGAAAGAAAATTTGTCAGAAGTTGAATCTACTTTTTAAGAACTACAGGCAAGTTATAGTCACCCATAGTGAAAGACATGTGTTCTAGTTTGTTTCTCTATTTTGGTGATAAAATACTCTGGCCAATACCAACTTGGGGAGAAAAGGGTTTATTCAGCTTACATCTCCCGGGTCATGGTTCTTCAGGGAGACCAAGGTAGGAACTCAGGTTAAGAACCTGGAGGCAGGAGCTGGAACACAGGCCATGGAGGATTGTTGCTTTCTGGCTTGCTCTCCTGGACTGTGCTCAGTCTGCTTTCTTATACAGTACAAAACAACCTACCCAGGGGTGACACCACCCACAATGGGCTGGGTTCTTCCACATCACTCTTAAAAAAAAAATCAAGAAAATGCCCCACAGACATGGCCATAGGCCAGCCCAAAGGAGGTAATTCCCCTATTGAGGGTCCCTCTACCCAGGTGTGTCAAGTTGACAACTAAAGTCTCCTGTGCAACATGAAAATGGCTTTTGTCTGCACAAAAACTACAGGCAAATTTTCCCACATTTACTTCAACATTATCCAAGTTATTGCCTAGAAGATGGACAAGAAATTAACTAGGAGCAGAGAGGAAAAATAACTTCTAAATTTGCTTTTAAAAATAAAATATTTATAAATAGTCTGGGAAAATCAGTGTGAACTTGCTTTTCACCACTTTAACTTTGCACATACCCTAAGTGATATTATATTTAGAAGTGATGTGTGTAGGTTTGAGTTTCTGGAACTAAATAGCAGGTGGTGGTGCCCAGCCACTGAGGGTTTGTGGGTCTCAGGAAATACTAGTGAGAGGGTGAAGGTTTAGTTGGACAGGAAGGGTAAGTTCTAGGGTGCTACTGCCCAGAAAGTGACCACAGCTAATAACATTGTGTTGTATGTCTCAGAGTTGTTGACATTACAAAATAGTCTCACAGGCCAGGTGTGGTGGTACACACCTTTAATCATGTCATGTAGATTTCTGTGAGTCCAAGGCCAGCCTTGTCTACATTGTAAGACCTTGTCTCAAAATAAAACAGAACAAAACAAAAACATAAACATAAAATATTCTCACTACAAGAAAACTAAGCATGTGAGTTAGCAGGCTAGTTGATTAGCTTGATCTAGTTATCCCACAGTCTAAGTATATACAAAAATATCAGAGTTTATAATGCAAATATATTGAATTATTCTCTAATCAATAATAATAATTTTAATTAAAAATACACTTTTAACATGAGGGGCCTGAATGGAATGACCATCTCCCACTAACAGTCAGTGCTGGGTGTAGCCACAGCACCCCATCCCTTGAGGTGAGCAGAGACCCTGGGCTCCCTGGAGAGGTGAGTGGAAGCCCTACTTCCTGAGCTTACTCACCCTGATGGATGTGAGGGCTTTGCCCAGCTAAGTGCAGATGATGTCTTTGAGTTTAAAGATCAGCACCTACAATGACAAGGACATCTGTTGGCTCACCACACCTTTTCCCCCACAGGAACCTGCCTGTGGGTCCCGGGTCCTCCTGTGCGATTAAGATCTTCACTGCTTCAGAGTCAGGCACCGACACAGTGCACACTGGGGTCAGAAGCTTGAGAAAGCAGCATGGTTAATCCTGTCAACAGTTCTTGGTTACAGTAGCCCCTAGGTCACATGAGTGTCTTATATACAATGTGTGTTTTGAGGAAGCAGGTCAAGCCAGGCTTGCTAATGTCTCTCCTACATATCACAGGGAATGGATGAGTGAGTGAAAAGCCAGGAGACTCACTCCTGTCTGAGAGACCTGATTGAGAGGAACTGGAGCAGTCTGTTCATTCTGAATCACTGAGATTGTTTTCTAAATATATTCAACTCTCCTGTTATGTTCCAGTTGCTACAAAGCACAGATGTGACAGACTTACCCTGGTCTGGCCTTTTCTTGTGAACAATCCAGATATCTTTCTCCTGGGGGTGTGTTAAAATACATTTATATGTTATGCATATTTATTAGCCGCTGCAAGATTATTTTCACCATAATCATCTTGGTTTTTTCTATATTTTTATTTTCTGTGTTTGAGTGTTATGCTGCATGTATGTAAGTGCACCCAAGTCATGTAGTCCCCAAGGAGAACAGAAGAGAATATCGGATCCCCTGGAACTGGAGTTAGGGATAGTTGTTAGCTGCCATGTGGGTGCTGGTATTTGAACCTCGGTCCTCTACAAGAGCAGTCAGTGCTCTTAACTGCTGAGCCACCTCTCTAGCCCCATCTTAGTTTTATCAATGACACTAAAGTCATTTTCTATTTTTAATTCTCCCCTTCTGCCTTCCCGCCCCCCTGTTAGTCAGTTTATGTTACTATAACAGACACCAGACATAATAAAGTTATACAGCATAAAAGTTTGTTTTGATTTATAATTTTGGGGATTTCAGTCCATGACTGATGAGCCACATAGCTTTGGGCCTGTGGCAAGACAGCATATCACCACAGGAGCATGAGGTGGAGTAAAGCTGCTCACCTCATGGTTGGCGCATAAAAA